GAGGTTTCTCAAAATGCGCTTGTGTATGTTAATATCTTATATTATAAGAAAAGCTTTGTGACAACATAGAATTACAGTTCAGTGACATTTTCTCACATAATATGTACAGATGAAAAGAAATCTTAATGTTAAATTCAAAAGATACATTAATAGTTCATTTGATGGCATTTTGTTACCTATATTTGCATGGTGCTATGTCTTCATCCATTTTTCCATGTTTTATTTCATTAAAATGAAAGTGGTAAAGGAGTTTGATACTCCAGTATCAATGCTGACTTACTAAACAGGGCTATAGAATCAGGGACCATAGAGCGACATTCTCTTCATATGAGTTTCTGGTGTCTTAGTGAGTTTGTGGTCTGTGACATAAGCAAAACGGATGCTGTATGAAAGTAGTGATCTTGTTGGCCACAGCCTGAGCAGAGGCAGCAAAAGAGGAAGAGGTCAGCAGAGGTCAGAATCCAGATAAACAGAACACAGACTTGCATATACACTCAAACATGGAGGTAAACATAAAATCTTTCACACACAATCCTACACACACACCCACAGACACAAAAAAGAGACCACAAGCATGGAATGACAAACATCTAAATACAGTACTGTGCAAAATTATAGGCACCTGAGAAAATACTGTGGTATGACAGTGCAGCTTAAAGTGTACTTGGTGCAAAGCAATGTGAATAATCTCTCTCTCTCTCTCTCTCTCTCTCTCTCTCTCTCTCTCTCTCTCTGTTTTTCTCTCTGTATGGCTTAGTGTCATAAACACGCTGATAAATGTGATCCTTCATGGAGCTTGTAGCACCAACAGATATATAAATGTGTATTGTGAGTCCTATATTGAAGCTAATAGTCACTACAACAAAAGTCAAACTCCTTTTTCAGGGAGCAGATTTGCTATTTATTAAGGACGTCAGACACACCTAGCTTCACACTATCAAAAAATATATAGTCATAATAGGAAGCGATATGTAATCTAGTTGCCCATATAAACAGTTAAAGCATGTTATCAGATGTCAGAAAGTTGTGGAGACACAGAGAGCTGCTGCCTCATGTTTGGGCTTCAACTCCATCTGGGTGATTATGTACTAATAGGCATTATATATGTCCCCCTCTGTGACCAAGTACAAGGAAGCCATGACATCCCTGTCTTTGCACATTCTTCATGTCTGTGTTTGTGATGATTTACTCCATGCTGTGATCACCTTGGAACTCTGTGTCTCTACTGATCCTGTGCCTTTACTGAAACTGAGAAACAAACTCCTCTTGTGTGTGAGCAAAAGGACAGATGTGATAGCTTTGACCACACCTGTCTTAGTCTTCACTGTCCTCTGTGACAGTTTAACAATGGCTAGTTGCCAAAAGCTAGCCAAGCTATCACCTCAGAAGTTGTCACCACTGTGTTTATGTAACCCCAGTCACTTTTTGAGGGAGCATTGCGTTGTCTTTGTTTTTTAGGTCAAAAATAATGTCATGTTTTATACAAATGAAAAGAGATGCCAATTAAAGTGAAATCTTGTTTTCAGGAGCGATTAAGACCTCCAATAACAATTTTCTCTAATAATAATGTGATTTCTTCATATTATTGTAACATCATTGTTATGCTTATAAACTATGTGTCAATAAATCATTATTACATTTCTTTTATACAGTGATAAACACAGAAAGCTCGATTTCTGCGTGCTGATACATTTTACTATTTCAAACGCATGTAAGCATTGCAACTAACAGCGCAGATTTTAGTGAGTTGAAGGGTGTATTGCCAAAGCAAACAAGGCACTAGCTAATAAAGACCTAACACTTCACAGCCCTGGGAATTGGCCACCCACTGTTTCCTCTGAATTTGAAAAAGAACAAATAACATAGTGAGTGAACATGATCTACATCTTCTAGTTCTGTTGTTGCATTATGCCTACCAATGTGCAGCAGGTCCTCATTGGATGGATAAGTCTCATTTCATTTATGACTCTCCACTTTCCAGTAAGACACCCACTGTAGCCTCTTTCCAAATGGCAGTTAATTGCAAGGCTAATTACGCTAGCATAAACATTTCCCTTGATGCAAGTTCTGATGAAGTGGTTATTACATTATTTTTTCTTTGTTAAAAGCCTTGTGTTTTCATTACTGTTTATGGTTGTTTTGCTAGTTTAGTTGTGTGGACTTTAGCCCCATAAAGAACAGCTGTTGTATTTTGGGAAAGGATCCAGACCTCCTGGTGAAAACCCCCTTAGGGGCAAAATAACTCTCTGCCAGTGACCCAGTTATCCATCACTTTGGTTGACTTATAACATTTGTAAGCTTTAATCCTGAAACAGTTTCTTAAGCTTTCTTTGTCATTTATTTAGCATGTTAATATCCTGTCTCTCTGAATTCCTTACTTTGGCTTTACTGGCATTTGATCTCCAAATGTACTGAAGTTCAATCTGAGAAACAGATCTTACTGCTGTACATCTGGAGGTTATAGGCCAGCAAAACAAAAGCAAGGGATTCAGAGAGACAGGTGATTAACCCTAAACCTCTCAGAAATACCTTCAAAATCACCTAATTTATGGCACTCGTGACCTCCTTTGACCATATACTTTCCCATTGTGAGGTGAGTGACCTCTCAATTTATAATCCCACTTCTTCTAGCTTGAGGAGCTTACTTGTCCAAACACACTGTGAAGCTGCGGTAGATAAAGAAATGAGGAGAAAATCTGTTCTGAAAAAGGGAACCCTTCCAAAACTGAGCGCTATTATGAATGAACAGCACCAGGCCATGGCCTCAGGAGGCTCAGTTTAACGTTTGACCTCCGGAATATCAGAAGACCTCACCCATGTTCTTCACTGCAAAGTGATGGAGGGCTTTATGGCTCCTTTATCAAACTGATCTCTGGTCTGTGTTAAAGCCTGAGAGAGGAATCTGTCCTGAGATACAACAGCAACAGCTTCTCCTGCTCCTTTTTTGAACATCCGATTTCATTGGCAATATAAATGAAAGTAAGGATATGGTACGGATTCAGGAGACGAGAGAAAATGTTTCCATTCACCCATCCATGTTACTGCTGAACGATATTCAAAGTGAAGAAGCTGATTGTGTCTACATTTCTCCTTTCACCACAGTCTAACTAAGAGACAGAGTGAAGCCTGAACGCAGTGATTATTGATTAAAACTGTTATTGATAAAACTGAGGGAAAGGTGCATTCCTAATGAGTCTATTATAAATAATTTCTACTGCATGGTGTGGTACGGCATGGTACTGGAATACAGATGTATCTGTACCCTGCTCAAGTAACTGTGTGCATGTCCCATTGCACAGTGGTACTTATTAAAGTATCGAGGGGTTCTGAGGATTCTGTGACAATTGTGTTTGATCAATCTAGCCTGCACGATAGTTCCACCCGTATGTCCCTGTTCAGTACTTTTGACACCCTGGCAAGAAGAAAACAGCACAGGTACTTCATTATAATAGGGTCACATGGTGATTGAAATACCAGCAATATGTGGGATCACAAATGTGTTACTGTTCTGTGCATTACCGTACTGCCCATTGGAAAGTACCATTGGACTCTAGCAGGGACATTAAAAGATGGAGACCAGTAACTGGTTGAAAAATTCATGGGAAAGCTCGTAACGCTCAACATGTCGTTTCTTTATGGGGAAAATCCCACCCTTCGATAAAAAGAGACAATTGGCTGGCTGAAAAAACTGCAAGCAGCAAAAGCCCCCCTTAGATCTGTGTAAGCTCAGTATCCAGAACAACTCGAGAAAAAGATTGGAGTATTAATGTACATGTCTTTCCTAAGGACTTGAAGTATCATCTAAGATAACCAGAACTTATGTTCTGTCAATAGGCTACATCAGCATCACACAGCAGAATGTTTTTGAAAAGTTTGCATATTGAATCACAAGCAGCATCATTCCTTCTACTGTTATTCTGCTGTTCCTCATATTATAACAAGTTTTTATATTTAGCATGCCAAGAGATGACACTTTCTGTACTGCAGCTTGTTGATGGAGGTGCATATTGTGTGCAGGAGCTCTTCTCTACGGCCCTTTCTGTTCCATCACACAGAACCGTGCCCTTCGTCTTCTCTTCCCTCCAGCCCTAACAGCAGCTCTGATCTGCCTGTGCGTGTGTACATATTCTGGCAGGAACAGATTAGGACGGGCTGAGTTTGAACTGCATATTCGAGATAGCAGAAGCTCAGGCTATCACTGCCTTCTATCAGAGGAGTGGGCTACTACATCTCCATCACACAACACTGCAAGTCACAGCACATATGCACCCCACTCAGGCTGGTTGACACATGAACCTGTGCACTGAAGCTCTAAAGCAGTCCTACCATTACAAAATAATACTGGGCTTTGGCAAAGTGCTGTAGAAGCTGCAAAGAAGTTTTGTAATTAAACACTCTTTTTCACTGATGTGCTTTTGACATTTTTTCAGTGCCAGAGGTTTAGATTGAGGTCACATACCTTATATATGTAGGCCCATCCCTTGTGTTCCAGAAATCCACCAGCAGATGGAGACGGTGAGAAAACTACAATAGTGCAGACTGTGCGTGGAGAAATAACAGATTAGAAATGCAATGTTGTCTTGAAACCACAAGATGGCAACATCAGTGGAGCATGAATAATTCATGTGAGGATACTGCCATCTAGTGGTCAAAATGTCATCTGGAAGAAAACCCAGTGGTTAGATTGCTTTGATAAATAATGACCATTAGATGAATAATAAAATATTCTTTTTTGTGGTGTTGTAATCTATTTATTGTTACCAAAGTGTTTGTATATAGTTTGGTAGGCTATTTTAACTCTTTTTTTCTGAGTATGAGGTAAGTCCGTCTTTCATGCATTCAAAATTCACTGTATATTTAACGTCATCCTGTTGTGTCCTTTTGCATGATTATGAATCCTGTCATGACATTCTACATTCTCTAAAACTTAACATACAGCACACAGCAGCAGTAAAGGGACTTTACTGTTAGGGTAACATGTTTCTTTATCTCAACCATAGGGTCACCCAGGCCCACTTGGTCCTATAGGTCCTCCAGGACCTCCAGGACGTCAGGGCGAGCCTGGTCTCCCAGGTTCTAAAGGAGAGAAAGGTGACAGGGGCAAGGGAGGCAACGCAGGCCCGAAAGGATCACTGGTATGTAATTCGACCTGCTTTGCTTTTATTATTTATTATAAATTATTGCAGATCTAAATTATACTAATATGAAGTGGTGCAGTGTTTTCAGTGCCTGGTCAGATCTGTACAGATACTATAAATGACAGACATATGATGAGTTTAGATTTGTTCAGTTCTCTGTGCTGTTTTTTTTCTGTAGGGAATGACAGGAGTTCCAGGATTTTTAGGATCTGATGGTATTCCAGTAAGTGGGATTTTTTTATGCTCACAACACCATATCACGTGTTTATGCTCATTGGCAAAAATAAAAGTGCATTTCTGCTGCAAGTGTGATGATACATATATTTTCAGGTTTGATATGATTTCTGATTCTAATTCCCATTATTAAACTTTATATATATTTTTAATATTTTTTATATTTTCATGGCTTCATTCCACAGAGCTTCAGTCATATGCAACACTAATTGGTTTGGTTCATACACATTTTAAAATAAAAGATAAAGTAGCATATACTTGGACAAAATAATGATTTTGTAGAAGTGCAACTGAGTTATAAACAATATAAAAGTCAGTTGCCTCATAATAAACCCTTTACAGGTGATCCAGCAACCAGAAGGTTGTGGGTTCCAGTCCCGTACTGGGGTATTTCTAGGTGTGCCCTTGGGTTTTTTTCTTTGCATTCTTTGATTTAAAGTATCTGTTGGAGTTGGATAAAGCAAATTAACAATCCGTTAAATTATTTCATGTTGTAAAAAGCAACTTGAATAAATTTGTATAATAAAAAGATTTTTGTTAGAACACAAAGTAATTTTTTTGTTTGAATTGACAAACCATTTTTACAGTGTAGACTGTCATGCTCAAACTACTCATATACTCCCCCAAAAGAAGAAATACACAGCTAACAACATGACATGTCATGTTTTTGAGGTTAGATTTGTTGCAGGATTGGATCAACTTAATTCTTTTTAACTTTTTGACATCCAGTCCAGCATTTTGTGCTGATGTTGGCCTGATACTGGTACCTGGTATCAGCCCGATACTCTCACTAGTTTTGATATGATGATATGTACTCAGAAGTAATCTTTGAAGATAAGATGCACTGTGCTTCTTGTGTGACCTTCTCTCTCTATGCACAGGGTCACCCAGGACAGGCAGGCTCTCGAGGAAAACCTGGTGCTGATGGCTGTAAAGGAGCAGATGGAGATGATGGAATACCAGGACTGCGAGGATCTGATGGTGCACCAGGATACCCAGTATGTGGAACATGTACTGCATGTTTTTAACTAGAAAGAAATGGAGAAACTTCGACTGAAGTCTGTCTTGAATATTGTGACCACAGCTGCTCTTTTATTCTGCCTTCTCTCTGTTACGTTACTGTTATATGCTTCAGACTTTCTCTCTACAGTTTTCTCACCTTGATCTTTTCCTGTTCTCTTTGCAGGGTCAGCCAGGAAGGAAGGGTGAGAAGGGGGACCCTCTGGAAATATCGGTTTACATGGAGAGATTTCGGGTGAGATAAGACCAGAAACAGTAATCTATGTTAGGCAACATAAATCAACAGCAGGGTTCCGCAACAAACATCTACCATCAGGGAGAATACACCAAACCTCTATGACCATTGTTTAAAATTCGGTCTGCCAATATGGAACATCCTACTGAATTAGTTACTGTATTAGTTTCATAAGTTACTGAAGTAGTGATATGTTTTAATAAAGTTAATAAAATTAAGGTATAGGGTTACTCAAAGCAAAAAGATTTTAGTCAGTTAAAAGTTCAAAATTCGTCTCTGACTTCAAAATAATTCAGTAGAATGATTGATAGAGAAAAATCTTTTTCCAACTGCCTTACAATACACAAAAATGTGTGATGCAGATGTTCACAAAAGTGCGTGTAGTGTTTAATAGATTTTGTACTTTTGGCTTAACACAGAGTTTATACTGATGTTCTTTATAATAAGCAGCAGGAAAAGGCATTTAGGAAACAAAACATTGTCATTACTATATCAGTTGTAACATTTATTTGAAGGCTACCTACAAAGTGACTTCATGACACATGCAAAAGCATTAAATAATGTTTTTAAAAAGCAACACTTTTTATACAGCTTATGTCACTTAGTACATGACATTGCTTTTTGCCTTATGAGTTTCATTACCTGCCTAATGATGCTTCATAACAGTGTTATAAATGAACCAAATGTCCATCAGTTTAGTTTAGTTTGTCAATATGTCATTTACTTAATAATGTTATGATGATGTTATTATTAGCGCAGGTTGTTCATAAATGCTCAAATATTGCTTTATAAATGTGTCACTTAATGCTGATTGGCTTAATTAGACGGCAAAAAACACTGTGTACATCCAGTCAAACACCTACTGATTTTTTTTTCATCATCACAATATACAATTTTAACAACTTTAGTGCTCATCAGATGTTCTACGTACATCATACAGTCTTAGAACACAGTCACGGACAAACAAATATTGCTATACACTGCCATTTTTGTGCATATTATGTTGTCGCTGTTAGAATAAAAACTTGTATCTCCTGAACTGTAACTTTACAGGAAAAGGAAAAACATCCTTATCTCATAATGAAAGCTAATGCAGTAGGATTTTTAAAGTAATCCTGGACCATTTCTGTCGGTCTGTTCATCATGAAATTTTGACACAAGGCAAAGGGTTACAGGAGTAACAAGGCTTTTTCATGACCGCAATGTATGCATTATATATGCTGCACATACTTCTTTTATTTTATCTCAGTTCTCAACCATATGCGAAATGATTGGTTTTAATTCATTTTTCTGGGTCTTGACATAGGGAGATCCAGGGTCACCAGGATATCCAGGAGTCACTGTGAGTTAAAAAAACACTTGATTTTTCTCAGACATATTTAAGGTAATGATCAATGCATTTTTAAAATACTGTTTTGTTTTTCTTTTGTTAAGGGCGTTCCTGGAAGGCCAGGCTATCAAGGACGGCCAGGTCCTCAAGGTCCTCGGGTGAGTAATATGTGTTTACTCATACTCATAGATATGTCTTTTTCACATCCCCACTTCTCTTATTGACGTCTTACATTTCTACTGCAGGGTCCACAAGGTGATCACGGACCTCCAGGTCCACCGGTAAGCCAGCATGATGAAACTGAAGAAATCTGTCTGCTTTGAAAAATTAAAAATTGAAAATATTTATGTTTGAAGGGGAATATTTAAGAATCTATGGCATTTGTTTGCAGGGTGAAGACCCTGTAATCCTGAAGGGAGAAAAAGGAGCACAGGTAATGCAAAAATCGTCACTGTAGTGCATGAGCCCATAGGACGCAACAGCTCCTTTGGATAGGGATGTTGATGAAAATATCTACTGGAAATGAACTGCATTTCTTATTTTAACTGCAGGGCGAAACTGGAGCGCCAGGACCACCAGGGAACTCAACAGGACCACTCACACTGCCCACCCAGGTCAGTCTGAGGCATCATGTGTTTTACCAGGCTTTCTGGAGAGTTTAACCATGAAATGATTCTTAAAAGAGTTTTGTGAACAGCTGCCATATTACAGCCAGCACAGCAGCCACAGTGTTGTGTTGTAAAGTGTAAAATAGCTGAGGCCTTGTACTGTACCATTTTTTCATCAGTTGTTTGTGTTTTCTTCTGCAGGGCAGCAAAGGTGAGAAAGGTGTGAAAGGTGAACGAGGAGACTGGGTAGGTCACCACTGCACTTGATTAAACATCAGATCGCTTTACATAAACTTCTTCTGCTTGGACTTTCCCTCCCTTTTTAATTTTGCCTATAATAAATAGTAAACAGATAATAATAATTATTATAATAGTGATAATAAAAATAGTAAAAAAAATAATAATCTTGATTTATCTAGAACATGTCATGCATAAATGCAGCTGATAAAGCCTAATGGTGAAATAATAATAATACAGCTGAACCAGCAGGCAGAAGCTCTGTGTTTTCTTCTGTTAATTTCAGGAAATTATTATGTTGTGTATAATATAATAATATATCTAATTTTGTGATTTAATGATCTATCACCTTTTTCTCACTGATATTTTTTATGTTTAATGCAGGATATATATGCATACACCAAAGGAGAGCAAGGCATTACAGGCTTTCCAGGGTCACGGGTATTCACTTGTTATGCTGTTTTTAATATTCAATAATTATCACGTTTGCTTTGATTTCCATTATAGTTTTAACTAGAAATATTGAATTACTTCTAGGGAGAACCAGGAAGAAATGGAAGGCCAGGAGCAAAGGTATGTTAATTGGTATCAATATTGGTGAAATAGTACAGCAGATCTGTCGTTAAGTGAAATTATGGGTGTTTTGTCAAAATCTTTTTCAATAAAAAGTGAGTGTGAAGCCAAAAAAATTGAGTGAAAGTAAAAATTATCTACATTTAAACATATTCAACTATATAAAAGTAAAAAAGTAAACACTCTAAAAGATGAAGTCAAAGGTTAATTCAGTTGGTGAGGTGTAAACAGCGTCATTCAGAATGGTTTGACGTGATGCGATGGTTCATTTGTACACAGTGTTACAGTGGTGGTGATAGGAACCAGGGGTAGTGATGTCTACAGTGCAAATATAGCCATCTTATTTACCAGTGAACCTTATATCTTTTGAGTTTTTGTATGTTGATAATGGCGAAATAGTGGAAAATCTGAAAAAATAGGTTTTCTCTGGTGACTATATTACCTTTCAGTTTCCTGCATGTACCCCATGCTTTTGACCTAGTACATTTTAGTACAAAAAGCTTATCACAGAACTATACCTCAGGCATCAGGCAGCTTATTTCATTCATTTCATTTCATGTAATAACTTTCTATGAAGGAGCTTTTAGAGGCAATTCTGACTCGGTAAGTTCCTCTAGAGCGACACAGATCAAACCACTCTGAATGTATAAAGCTTATTTATTTAATTATGCAGAAATTTTGAGAAATCAGTGTAATTCCTCTTTAAGTCTCTTTTTTGGTGGTGTGCTATGTGGTAACTAAAGAGCAGTACTCGTCCATGCACAAAGACAAATTAGGATAGTTGTGAACAATTTCATTTTACATTAATATGAATTTGGTTAAAAGTTTTAATAAAAAACAGTGTTAAAAGCACTGGAACTTGACTGATTGGCAAGATTTACAAATTGAATATGTATTTAGAAGGTCCAAAAAAAACATAAGGAGTGAAAAGTATGTTATTTTTTTCTTTTGGACATGTAAATGAGTATTACTTCAAGTGTTCAATTTCAGCGATACTTGCATAAAGTACAAATATTCCAAAATAATATAATAATATAATATAATAAGTGTTATTCTGTTTCTCTGTTCCACACAGGGTGACAGGGGGTACCCAGGCTTTCCAGGACAGACAGGGCGCAAGGTCTTTGTTTTATTGTTACTGTTTTACTATAGCACTATGAGAGTTCTAGGTGTACAGAATGTTGAACAAAATGTTGCTGATATGTCAATTCTTTGATAGGGGGAGCCAGGAGACGCAGGAGAACTGATCTATACATCTGGTACCTTTGGAGGTAGTAGAATTCACACTTTTTTCTCAAAGTGCTGTTATTAAAGAATTATTTAATTTATTTTTGGTCCCCTTATTTTGTTAGATTATTCCGTTATTTTTGTTATGCTCTTTGTGAATTAGCAAGCACAAGCATCCTTTCTCTGTATTATATCATTCTCTGGTTTAACTCTTTGAACTTTTTGTTTTGCTCTCTCTACTGCTCTCTTAGTTGGTCCTCCAGGCCCTCAAGGAGAACATGGGCCACCAGGAGATATTGGCCCTCCAGGGCCTAAAGGAGCACCAGGCCCCCAGGGGCGTGATGTTGTGGACCAGCAAATAGGTATTTAAAATGTTTAAGGCCCAACGTACCCTTATTAGACAGTCTATCAGTTATTGTCTACTTTAAGATAAGGAAGATAGTCATGGTTCAGATGTGGACAAGTTTGTGAAGTGGTGTGAGGGCTAGTTTTTTAAAACTAAAGATGTAGTGAAAATGTTACATTTTAGACAATAGATTAAAGGGGTTCATACAGTGATTGGGGGAAATACTGATTAAAATAGTACACTGCAAGTATCTTCATGCCGTCATTGATAATAATGTTTTGACCAAAATACACCTAGAATTTATGAGTATGAACAACAGAGGTTGTTTTGTGGAAACTTAGCAGGTTTCAGGCGCTCAAGCCAATAGCTTCGTTTTATAAGACTTTTATTGAGTCATTTATCAATTGGTTAGGAATAGAAGCATCTAGAATAAGAAGTTTCATCCTGAAAGCTTTGTTTTACCTTATGAGACAATAGAGATTAATTAATTATTTAAAATGTAATTTTTCCAATTAATGATATGAATCTCAAGTACACATTTCAAGTGCACTGTCTTTTATTACACAGAGATATTTGGCCCTTTCGGACCCAAGGGCATAAAGGGACAGAAGGGTGAGGCTGGAGAACCTGGGATCCCAGCTACACGCCCTGGTCCTCGAGGCTTTGACGGACAATCAGGACCACCTGGGCCACCTGGACCCAAGGGATCATGTAAGTGTTGACTTGCTCAGCAAGTTCTGTACAGTTCTGTAATGTTGTGATAAAGAGCTGCTTGATTAACAGGAAACAAATAAAAAAATTGATCACAAAAAATGCTAATTGTAGAATGAATATAAATGAACAGTAATACAAAGATTTATGATTTTACGTGCCAATGTGTTAGCTTTATCATGTACAAACCTCTCCCAAGGCAGCCCAGTATTGTTATTAGTTGTCATCCAATACCTAGCTTGGCTATTCTGTGCTCCCTTAATGAAGTAGTGGAATGATGGAGGATTGATTAACTAGATTAATTAGAACATTTAATTTGTCTTAATGCTATATGGTGCTTTTACTGCATAAATAAGAAAAGTTTCAGTTGTTCTTCATTCTTATGTAATAGTATCATTTTTGAGATTGGTAGGATTCAAATTTTGGCACTTTTTTGGCCAATAACCAACTGTTATTGGTCAGTGAGTAATCGCTAAGCCTAAAATCAAGCACAATCAAAAAATCAATTCTGTAACGAGTATGTCTGGATCTGAAATCAGATTGGCTGAGCTGTGTTCAAAGCTAGTGTAAAATATTTGCCAAACGCATGTATATGGGAAGGCATTATGTATTACTTATGTAATTAATGCATTAAGATATTAAAGTGTTCCTAGTATGCACTGTGAATCTTAATAGGTGGGGCCAGGCAGAAGCCTGTATATGAAGTAAATCATAAAACCATATTAAGCATACCTTATGTAAGAACCTAGTTTTGTTTAAACCCCTCTTATGATTGCTAACAGGGAAACATTTTATCTATATCATTTAAGTGTTAGTCATTCAGTAAACCTCCTGTTGCCTAAAATCAACAAAGCATTCCATCTTAGTAATTTTGTGCCTGATAAACATTGTTATATTTCTGCTACCCGCCTTGCTTTAAAACACAAAATAACTGTTCTGTTAACTTACTATTTGATGTTCAATGGAGTTAAAATGTGTAACAATATAATGTTTGGAGCTGGTTAAAAAATGTTCTTAGCTTCAGGTATACCAACAGGTAGACAGAGAAGTAATAAACTGTCCTTGACATAGAGGGGAGGTCTGATGGCTACAAACATTTGCATACTAATACTTTTTGACCACAGGGCAGGAACATTTCAGAGGTCCTGAAGGACCACGTGGACGTCCAGGAAATGCAGGAGCCAAAGGGGAGAAAGGTACGACCAACAACTGCAGACTCACTTCAGCTCCTGGTTTGCTATTCCTGAAATATCATGGTGGACTGCTGGCCAAAGGCAGACTGTGTTTGTGTTTTCATGCAAGTTCACTGCAGAACATGATTTGACGTATTGTTTCTTTTTGGCGGTTCAGATCCCTTTATTGTTAGCATTTTTAGACATAAGTGTGCTCTATCTTTAGTTCAGAAGTGAAATTTCATCATGTTTTGCATAGTTAACATTAAATAATTATGTTTGTGTGATCTTATTAGGTGACCATGGTCCGTGTGAATGCAGAGCCCAGACCTCTCCTCCTGGATCTCCGGGTTTACCTGGCAGTCTTGGTGACGATGGCATGGTAGGAGAGTGGGGTCAGCAGGGAGATCAAGGAGAGCCAGGACCCAGAGGAAACCCTGGATTGCCTGTAAGTACCTAGCCTTACAGTAAAAGCAGAAGATGGTTTCCAAAAGCTATGTAGACCATTGTTTCATTGCCAACTACTTGAAATCTTTAAAAATTAAAATAGTTTTCTCTTTCTACAGGGCTTTCCAGGTGCTACAGGGTCTCCTGGACCGAAGGGACTTAAAGGAGTACGCGTGGAGGTTACAGAGAAAGGTGCCCTTTTTATCTAACATGCGATGAATTCAATTAATACACAAAGAAAAGAAATTTAATGTGTGTGTGTGTGTGGGTGACTATCTGTGTATATTTTACAGGACCGCCTGGAGATGAAGGAGACCCGGGCATATCAGGTGAGCAAGGGGAGCCTGGCCAGACTGGACGTAATGGGATAGATGGTGTCCCTGGATTTGCTGGTCCACCTGTAAGTTCCTCATTACTATCTTCCTAAAAAAACACCACACTAATCTGAATGCCACCTGTCTTCATTTTAATCAGATGGTGATTGATTTTGGAAGAGAGATTAATGGCGTCCATCAGTAATTGGTGGAATACTAGTTGAAAGCGTTATTCATTACAAATACCTTAGTATATTCATTAATGTTAAATTATCTTTTGATAAAAAAAAAACAACCAGAATTTATTTTATTAAAAAAAGTGTTGAGAGAAATCGTTTTTCTTGATGAAATTCAGCAAGCTTTTAGTTTTGACATTTGCATTTATCAGTTGGTTTGGTAACCAGGAGATGTTTCTGAGGATCAGGAAATGTTATTCTTAGTTTAAGTGTGTGACATACAGTAGCTGCAAACCAGCTTTTGATTTGTGAGATCATAAAGAATGAATTAATTAATTCATGATAAATATCATCAAAAGGCATAAATAACAAGTGTTAGTGCATTTTCCATGGTGTATTGTGGTTAACAAACACTTAGAACACATTGACTATAATTATACTGTATTAAATAATCTGGACCTAGAATACTTTAAAGAACATTTTTCGTGATGATATTTCCAAACCTAATGAATTAAACTTTAATTTAAATGTGAGTAAGAGCTTTGTTGTCATGATCACAGCACAAAGTGCAAAAGTAAAGCACCCATCAGTGCAGGCAGTGATTTTTTGTTGTTGTTGGTTTTGTTGTTGTGTTTTTTTTTCAGCCACACAGTTATAAAAAGGGTTTGGGTAAGAATAAATACATTATGAACAGGCATGGTTACATGTGCTGCAGTAATATCCAGTCATATCTGCTCTGCACATTGTCATTAAATACAGAGTGCAAATGGGGAAAAATGTACTTGCAAATTAGCAGTGTTATACCACTAAAAATGCCCTAGGTGGTAGACCAGAAAAAGTGTGTTACTACTATAGCAAAAAACATGTTTGTATTATTTATAATAATGTATAAGTTGTTATAATAATTATATAATTTTGATCATCATTATACATTTTTATGAATATGAGATTATTATTATTATTATTGTAGGACTCATTTGCAGTGGTATTTCTATGCTATATATTTGAGTGAGGAAATGTGAGGAAATCTGTAACTTCTGAAGGCATTTACGTTGTTCTTTTTTTTGTGAATAATATCAGCTGCTGATATGTTACGCACTTGTAAATATTGCTTACAGAAAAAAGATAACTTACAGAAAATTGTTTGAAAAATACTTGATAAGGAAGCATCATCAATAGGTTGGAGTTCAGCCCTGGACTTTTGTCTAGACCATCCCACTACATCCAGAGTGATTCCTCCCCAGGAATCGACCTGCAAACCAACCCCACCCCACACACACACTAATTATCTAGCTAGTTAATTAGCCAAAGTCTGATAGTAGCCTTAGTGTACAAGTAGACTGAATGAACTGGCTAACTCACCCCTTCTGCACTTTGGCCCTGCAGTTCCTCATGTACTTTCATCAACTTTCTGGGCCCAATGTACTAAACCTTTTACAGAGGTTTCAGACGCACGTTATAAGCAAAACTGTCACGCAAGCTTAAATGTGCAGATTCTGTAAAATGCAAATGAAAAAACGCAGAATGTGCTTTTCTCTTTTATGCATATGCATTTGAGCGAGGGCAGCACAGAATGCTGGAGGCTCACACAAAAAAGGGGTGGAGATGTTAGAAGTGCAGCTGATTACATGTTCCACTCAATTTATTAAAGTTTGAGGAGCTTGCGACATCTGGTTTTACATGTATTTTTCTCCATCTTTTAAAACCAGTATAAATTTCTGTCTTAAAAAGGTGTTGATAAGACTGAAATGATATTTACTAATACAATAACATAATTTAAGCTCTTAGGATGAAGTTATTGTTGCAGGTCAAAAATATGACATTTGTTTTGTTTGGGTACAGAAAGAGGAAGTAGCTTGAGACTTGTGTCACACCGGGACCAACTTAACACATTTTAGCTTTTAAAAAAGTATTTCAGCAAGATTTCATTTTTTAAATAGTAGTTTATACAAGCAACCTGCACATCTCTGCTACAAAATGAAAATGTAAACTGTTTCATGTAGACTGTTTCAATCTCAACCTCTTCTGAAAAACTCAGCTAGTTTAATGAAGTACATAAAAATATGTTTATGATATGAGTGGGTTTAGTAACAGTAGACAATGTCAGACACTAGCAATTTAAAAACAAAACAGAAAGGCAAATAAATGCATTATAAAATTCAAATATATTTTATTTATATGAATTTATTTGAATTTCCAAAAAAAGATGTTTTGAATTTATATGTGGCCATATTATGATTGTTTATTAGTGCTATGAACTAGGAATGGAAATGTTACATGCAATTATTATAATTATTATTGTTGTTATTATTATTATTATTATTATTATTATTATTGATTAATTTTTTTCTGCAGTATCCCTGCAATTTAATCAAACCAAAAAATTAATCCTGTTTTCTTCAGACTTCTTTGTGGCAATATTATTATTGAATAAATAAATAATATATAATCAGCACATTGCTATGACTCCTTTATGTTTTAACATATGTTTTTTGTCTTAAAATGTTTGACTAACATGTACAATATAATAAAGAATGAAACAAAAAATACAAAATCACTGAATTTATGACTTAGTAAATTAGTGATTTAGTAACTACAACCCCATTTCCAAAAAAGTTGGGACGCTGTGGAATGTAAATAAAAACAAAATGCAATGATGTGCAAATAATTTGAACCCTATATTTAATTGAAAATAGTACAAAGACAACAAGTCAAATATTGAAACTGAAAAATTTTATTGTTTTTTGAAAAATATATTGATTATATTGATATAATTTGATGCTAACACATTCAAAAAAAGTTGAGACGGGGGCAACAAAAGGCTGGTAAAGTTATCTAATACTAAAAAAACACCTAGAGGTTGATTGGCAACAGGTCAATAACATGATTTTTTAAAATGATAATTTAAAAATGCTACACTGAACCTGACTGTTACAGACCATTTAATTACCAACTAAAATCTAAAGGACTAATTAGCCTATTAATAATTCTTACTAAGTAATTTACATTTTAATTATAGCATAATATGGTCTACGAAAAGCTAATAAAATGCAGCTGAAATTAAACTATATTGTCTGGTGATGAAAAGCTGTAAATCTGCTCTGTGATGTGTGATTTCTTTGTGAAATCCTGCACCTGCACCTCACAAGTGCACTGTTAGTGGGCGGGGCTGCACACAGTTTGCATGACAAGCTGCAGTCTTTGTAAATCGAATGTGAATTCAGACGCATTGTCAGCACTTACTGCAGTCACATGAAGGCACATTCTGCACTGCGGCTGCGCTCATACATACATCTGGCCCTTTTATCACTCCCCGCTCCAACTTTTCAGGGGTTTTCTCCATCTCCTTAGCTATCCTTCAAGGTTTAATTTTTCCGGTTGTTATAATTATTCTTTTTTCTGGGGGCAGCGGCATTTGAGTGATCGGCCAATGGCCAATCCTGCATGCCTGTGTTTTCCAGGCACATGCGATTTGTCCCCTGCAGTCTCCATTCATTGTAAATAAGTCTATATTACAAATGACCATACATTTCTCTCTTTCTCACTGTCTCAGGGAATCATCTCAGTCCTCCTTATTGCCAGTCCATCCCTTCATTCTTATGAGCAGATAATGCATAGTACTTTAGTCTCACTACACCATGTGCTGTATTCCTGTACTTTTTTCAGGGAGAGGGTCCAGTTGGAGAGCCTGGAGAGAAGGGCTACGCAGGCAGGCCGGGTTTGCCAGGCTTTGCCGGGCCTGCAGGAAGACCAGGTCCAGTGTTTGGAACAGCCAAGGGTGTAAGAGGTTCTCCTGGAGATCCAGGGATTAGTGGTTATGATGGAACTCCAGGCCTACCTGGTATTCCAGGTATGTACTCTCTCTGCTCTTCTCCCTCTCATTTTTCCATTCTTTAATGTGTATTTTAACTGTATTGTTAATTTCTTCCCTGTTCCATCACTGTTTTCTGTCGTATGCTGTTTTGGGTTAGATATTCTGAAGTTAATGACTCTTCAAAAATTCTCTGTAGTTTTGTGTCAAAATTATTTTCAAACTTTTTACATAATTTATTGATTGAGATAAAAGTTCTGTATCTGAGAGTTCCTGGAGAATGTGAATTTCCTCTGGCGTTCACTAGAAGGAAACGCATGGGCTATTAAATCATGGAATATTCTTCAAAGAAAATCATTTCAGCTGCTAACTGAGCCTTCTTCAGTCTCTGTCTGTCTACTGTATTTTTTGTCTGCTTCTGTCTTTCATCATATCTTGCTTGCCATTTAAAGGAAGCTGTAGTCCAAGCGGAGACGAAGGCCAGTGGAATACAGCAGGAAGTGGCAACGGTGACGAGACAAACTCCCTCTTAAGAACTCTTCTTCTTCTATCTTAGTGCTTCTTTGCATTGCCATCACTCTTTTGTTCACAGTTAATGAAGCTTTGGGCATTATTAACCTCTTTCCTTATTTGATTTTTATTCACAGACACAATTATTTTTGGGACATATTGTGATGTTTTGTGCTTTGCTCCACACTAAACAATGGATCAAATCTGACTTTGGCATGATGAAATGTGATGATATTTTTTTTGTTGTTTTTGCAAAGCAGGCATTTAGCAAATCTACTGTAGCATCTGTGTCCTTTGTCACTGTGTCTTTTTCCTTGACACTACTTAGCTCTTGGCTTTGGTGTTTCTACAGGGGAGTGTGAGGCACTACCAGGACCCCCAGGAGAGAGAGGACCCCCAGGACCCCCTGGATTGCCAGGATTTCTAGGTAATAGATACAGTGTACTGTACAGTACACTCTAAATGGATAAAATAATATTTTTTAAATACATAAAATCACTATGTATTGTATTAAAGTCATTTGTATTTATTTGAATATTTATATTTTTTGAGCAAATAACCACTTACTGGCCAAATAAATTACTTTTTTAAATATCGCGTCTTCAGATGCTGTGTAGTACTGTATATGTTCACATTTTACTTCCTGATGTGAATATTCTAATATTTATGGCCACGTTTACATCAAACTGACAGTATCTTTGTTTTCTAGGTGTACCTGGTCCTAAAGGGTTTGCAGGACCTAGTGGAGGAGTGGGACTTAAGGGAGAGCAAGGAGACCAGGGCAGAGGAGGACCACCTGGAGCAATGGGTGAGATGATTTTATTAGTACTTCATACTCAAAATCTGAGACACTATCAGCATACCTTTACTGATAATGTGCAGGCTTTTCATCACTCAAACAGGCAGCCCTCAAACAGTATTTTAACGGATAGTTCATGTTCACATTTGCCATTCTTGCGGCCACAAGTTTCAGACTAGAGTGTCCCACATTTCACAGGACAGTCCAGAAAAATAATTACTTTTTTTTGTTTTAAAAAATATCATTCTAAATGTATATAAAATATGTAACCTATAATAACTAATTATGCAACCCCAAAAAATTACATATTTTGATGATTTTATAAACGAAAAGAAGTTAATACATCCTCTACAGAGAACATACTTCTACACATTTTAAAGTTTAGTTTCTTTAATGCCTCAATTTAATGACTGTTCCCCCTTGCTTACTTAAACATACAGTCTGTGATGAAGCATAACTGGTTAAAGAAAAGCATCACGGAGTCAAAGAGGAGAGTGAAAGCCTTGCTCTAGAAAACAAAGAAAACAAAACTGCTAAATGGAGAACAATGGAAGAAACATTTCAAGTAATATATTGGCTTCTGTTCGTATATGGACCTGCCCAGTACTTTCTAGGGAATTGTACTGGGTCTCATCCAATCCTTCCGATATTTTGACTTGTAACCCTTTTCCCGAATACTTACTATCAAATTACTTTGCATGTATAAAAGGTTTACCTGCTTATGTACATTACCATAACTACATTGTCTTTAACAGAACAAAACCTTGTATCTTTTTTGTTTGAATGGATTAATGGAAATGATCGAAAATGGCATGGAAAAAAATCTTGTTTCATTAACTTCAATTCAAAGTTAAGAAAGTTTATTGCTTCTCTTATAAAATTACCACTTTGGAGATATGAGGTTTGTCACGACAGCAAGGATATTCAGGTTTCACTTCAGCCTAATTGTTTATCTGCATGTCTACTCTGGAGGTAGCCTCTGTCTTACTACGTTTTTCTGCCTTTTACACTTTTTTTATCTTATTGTTTTCCTCACAGGTTTCATTGGACCTCGTGGAGACTTGGGCAGTCCTGGTTCTAAAGGTCCAGAGGGGAATCTTGGTCCTTCCGGTAGGCCAGGCTTAGATGGTGAGCCAGGGCTTAAGGGTCCTGAAGGTAAGGCTCTAGAAGGTTCTTCTGGACCCACAGGAGACCCAGGGTTACCCGGACAGCAAGGCAACAGAGGACCCTCTGGAGATCGTGGCACAAGTGGATATCCAGGTGAGGCTTTGACTACATTATAGTCTGCGTTTTAGGAGCATGTTACCCATTGCAGTTATCACTGACAATAATATAAGAATTCTGTAATTGTATAGCAATTATTTCTCACTTGTAGCTCATTGAAACAAGTAGAGACATTCTAAAAATGTGGATTCTAGACTTTCAATCAATACTACATTAGTGCACATAAGTTAGTATAACAATATGGCAACTTCTAAGAGTTAATTGTCATGGTGGTGTGGTATACAGGAATGGAGGGAATGCCTGGGATGATTGGCTTCAAGGGTGAAGTAGGTCCTGCAGGCTTACAAGGAGAGTTAGGAAAACCTGGACCACCAGGAATATTTGGCTACCCTGGGGTACCCGGACAAGCAGGACCCCCAGGACCTCCAGGCAACATAGGGCAACAAGGTAATACAAGTAACGAAAATGTTCATGATCAAGGAATAATGAAGTGTATTTTAATAATACTGCAGTCTCTAATCAAGGTAAATCATGAATGAATAGACGTATATCAGTTCCTAAGACTCCTGAATCAGTTTGGGTCTTGTATTTTTAAGAAATGGAGAGATAAAATAAATCACAAGTTAATATACCATTACTATCACTTAACCCTTAATTGTCTGCTTAACCGTTTGGTAGAGCTCATGGCAGACTCTTGTCCTGAGTATAAGGACTGAGAAGAGAGTCAGTTCACTCAAGTCTTTTCTCACATTATGGAAAACCATATTTTCTTTGCTTTTTTAAACACAAGAGTTTGATGTACTATGTAAAAAAGGTAAAAAATTTCAAAACATGACATTCACTCCCCAGTACATGTATCGGTTTTGGATTCATTGTTTTTAATTAATTGGTCACAAGAGCCAACACATTTACATATATCCACCTGTTCAGCCTATAGCAGTTTAGCCATCGAGGGCAGCCAGTCAGAACAGATTTGATTTACATATATCAGTTTTAGTGGTACTGTGGCAAAATCAGTCTGTTTAAGTTTAAGGGATAAACAGACCTTGGAAAACAGTGCACACATAGAATATGTCGTAATTTCGTAATTCATAAAACTGAATTATAACTGTTTTGGATTCATAAAACTACACACATTACAAGATTTACTTTCACGTTTCTTTAACAGGTCTCAGTGGAGAAACTGGTGATCGTGGGGACAGTGGTCCCCCTAGCTCTTTAGGACTGAAGGGTATTAGTGGAGAGCCTGGAAGTGATGCTGGACTAGGTGAACTTGGGCTTCAGGGAGATCCAGGACAACCTGGCCATGTTGGTCGGCCTGGTCTTTCTGGACTTAAAGGTTAGTACTTGGACACATTACTTTACAAGTGGCAAGACATACGAACTCACTTACGAAAAACCACAAACTGTACCATCACATTATTACAATGTTTATTGTTTATTATTTATTTGGATCAGCTGTAGTGCATAAAAAACACACACAAATACATGTGCATATATATATATATATATATATATATATATATATATAGTGTGTGTGTAATGTGTTATGCTTATTATATGACAAAATAATACATTCGAAACATGCATGATTGTTTTAAAAAAATATAATTTCCATTCAAGATGGCAATAACATGGCACCTGCTCACGTCAAACCCTATTATTTTTAAAAAGTTTACATATGAAGAACAAGAGAAGTATATAGAGCATGGTCTATTTTAATAATATTTATTTGGTTGCAGTCTGTTAGCTTAATTAGCTAGTTAACTAACTATCTAACAAAAACTGATTGGCTGCTTGTGCCAGTGTTTGTTTCTCTTTTGTTATCCTGCTGTATTGTGATCTAAAAAGCAACATTATTAATATCATCATTTGTGAGGTCAGTCACTGATGTTGGACTAGAAGGCCTGGCTCACAATTGACATTCCAATTTAGATATTCAGTGTCACTGGAGTTCCTCCACACCAAATTCATCAAACCATATCTTTACAGACCTCACTTTGTGCACAGGGTGACAGTCAAGCTGGAACAGGAAAGGGCCTTCCCTACACTGTTGCCACAAAGTTGAAAGCAGATAATTGACTAAAATTTCTTTGTATGCTGTAGCATCAACATTTCCCTTCACTGGAACTAAGGGTCTGAGCCCTACAACACCAAACCATTATCCACCACCAAACTTTACGGTTGCCACTATGCTTTCCACTAGGTATTATTCTCCTGGCATTTGCCAAATCCAGATCTGTCCATCAGACTGCCAGATATGAATCAGCATGATTCATCACTCCAGAGAACATGTTTTCTCTGCTTCAGAGCTCAGTGGCACTGTGCTTTAGACCACTCCACCTGGCAATTTGCATTGTGCGTAGTGTTCTTAGGTTTGTGCACAGCTGCTCGGCAATGGAAATCTATTTCATGAAGCTACCAGCGCACAGTTTTTGTGCAAATGTTGCTTCCAGGGTCGGTCTGGAACTCTGTAGTGAGTGATTCAACAGGGGATAGGAGATTTTTACAAGCTACATGGTTCAGCACTCTGTGGCCCCTCTATGAATTTGCATGGTCTACCACTTCGTTGCTGAGCTGTTGTTGCTCCTAGATGCCTCCTTTTCATAGTAATAGTATTTACAGTTCCCTGGGGAAGACCTAGCAGGGCAGAAATTTCACTAACTGACTTGTGACAAAGGTGGCAGCCTGTATATGATAGTGCTGTACTCACCAAGCTTTTGAGTATGATCCATTCTACTGCCAGTGTTTGTCTATCAGGATTGAATGGCTGTGTGCTATTTTACATATCTGTTAGCAATGAATGAGAGTGAAACACCTGAATATCATGATTAGGAGGGACATCCACATACCATATAGTGTAGTTATTTATATAATCAAATAGGTAACTGAGTAACTTTAATTCTAATGAAAATCCACTTGGAGACATATTTTTTATTACTGAAGAAAGGTATGTATTTTTCACAACTAAAGCTGGCACCTTTATTTTTACCTACGTTCCTTTTTTGTTTGCTTGTTCATAGAACAGCCAATCAAGACAGTGATACCATAGCACCTGATCACATCCAACACTATTGTTTTATAGTTATTTATGTGGTCAAATAAATAACTAAGTTCAAATGAAACACATTTTTGCACAATCCTCTTACAGCTGTTCTCAAGACAGATGTGTAGTAATACTGAAGCAAAAAAATCTCAATTTTTTTCAGAAATACATGGAATAAATAAATTTTACATTAGCTTACATTAAAAGTAAAGAACATTTCTGCCTTTCCCTTAAAATTTACCTTTTTGGACATTTGGACATGTCTGACACAAATATGCAAACAGGTCTTGAACCAATGTTGCAGACGTAAATGTTGATATGTTGTCTAATATCCCTCTGCAGGTTTGAGAGGCTCTCAGGGCATGACAGGCTTTCCAGGAATGCCTGGGAATCCTGGTCTGAAGGGCATCACCGGACAAAAAGGGGACCTTGGCTTTCCAGGCGTAAGAGGAGAAAAAGGATTCAGTGGCCACAAGGGGATAAAAGGTTAGGCTGCTTGCTACCCTAATTTTATCTTTCTTTCACAATATTTGTTTTATGCACTTTGACTTGTTTTATTTGTTTTATTTTTTTATTCATCTGTTACAAATTCAGTCTTAGAGATTGAAAGTTTGATGAGTGGTTACTGTCTTTCTCCAGGTGAACCAGGGCTTATTGGCCCTCCAGGCGAACCACCATCCATTAAAATGGAACATATGAAAGAGACCATGAAAGGCACAAAAGGTGACCATGGAAAAGAAGGAGATCCAGGTTTCACTGGGCCGCGAGGTAAGTGCTCTCTGGTGTATGTTACTGCAGCAATTACCAGTTGTAAGGACAGTTCCAAAGGCTGAACATAAACTCACAAAGTGTTGTGCGAAGGAGTCAAAGTGCTGCAGGTGATGCAGCCCCTCTGCAAACGTTTGCAAAGGACTGTATGTATGCCTGATGTAGAATGAAGTTTTTATGTGTTCTTTATCACATTTTTAAAATCTGCATCAGCCTATCACACACACTCATTGAGCATTTTACTAGGTACACTTACCTTGTATCTATATTTATTGTCCATTTTATCAGCTCCACTAACCATTTAGGTGCACTTTGTAGTCCTACAATTACAGACTGTGGTCCATCTGTTTCTTTGCATAATTTGTTGTCCCTTTTTTACCCTGTTCATCAGTGGTCATGATACAGGACACCACAGTGTAGGTATTATTGGGGTGGGGGATCATTTTCAGCACTGCAGTGACACTGAGGTGGTGGTGGCATGTTAGTGTGTGTTGCGCTGGATCAGATACAGCAGTGCTGCTGAAAGTTTTAAACACTGTGTCCACTCACTGTCCACTCTATTAGACACTCCTATCTTGTTGGTCCACCTTGTAGATGTAAAGTCAGAGACAGTAGCTCATCCACAGTTTTTGTCATCCTCTAGTCCTTCATCAGTGGTCACAGGACGCTGCCCACAGGCTAGATGTTTTTGGTTGGTGGACTATTCTCAGTCCAGCGCTGACACTGAGGTGTTTAAAACTCTGGCAACACTGCTGTCTGATCCACTTATTCCAGCGCAACACACATTAACACATGACCACCACGTCAGTGTCACTGCTGTGTTGAGAATGATGCACCACCCAGATAATACCTGCTGCGTGGTGGCCCTGTGAGAATCTTAAGCATTGATGAACTGGGTAAAGATGGGATAATAAATTATACAGAGAAACAGGTGGACTACAGTCTGTAATTGTAGACCTACGAAGTGCATCTTTATGGTAAGTGGATCCGGTAAAATTTTCAATGAGCTTGTAATTTGACTGTGAGTGAGACACATGACGAAATGCATCCCTTACTGTTGTGTTCCAGTGTTCCAAGTTGTGTACAAACTATACTAAAATACTATAAAAAAATACTGTACACCAACAACATCTTTAGCTTTTGTGTCTCCAGCGTGTGTAAGCACAGAGAGCGAGAGATAACTGTGATCAGTCTCATCCACCACTCCCCTCTTCATGTCTGTTATGGCCTTCCTGTAGCAGCTAGGCAGATGAAGAGACTGACTTCAGCTGTTGAGGATAAAGGGAGGCCAGCCATATCTTGTCTCATTGTTCCTGCAGATGGCCACATGTTTGTTGGTTCTCAAAAACAGGGGTTCTCAACCTTTTCCACCCCAAGGCCCACCCATTTATAATGACAAAGTATAGCAGCCCATAGGAAAACTAAAACGAACTTTTTAAATACAATTTTCTTTTTTTTTTTTTTAAGTAAAACCTGAGAACCAGGGAAAAGATCAGATCATCAGTTCAGTTCAATCACGGAAACCAAAATTTGCAATCATGTTAAAAAACATAACATGTTAAAATAAATATATATTTCATGATATGTTAAAAAAAGGGGAAAAAGCGAAAAGAATTGAAATGTACAAGGTGTGTGTGGACTGTGATTTGGAGCTGCAGTACCTTGTTTTTTTAACGGAAAATACTCCACTAATTTCCCCACTGCCTTTTGTCTCGAGATTTCTCTTTAGTTGTGAGGGCTTTTGTGATTCATTTGAAATAGCCCAACCACACTCCACTCAGAGGGCTTTTGGATTAGTGTCGTCACAATCAACAATAATAACAAACCTTACTTAATATATGTTTCTTTAGGATCGCTTCATCAATTTGAGTTTAACCACTCAGGTCGCTGATGACCACTATGAACTAGTGCCTCCCCAGAGTACTGGCCCGCAGGTTGAGAATGCCTGCTCTAAAACATACATGCTTAAAATCATCTTTCTCTTCTAGGACGATTTCAGCACCCTAGAAGATGGACAGCTTTCCTAGTGCAGCTCTGTTTTCCTTGCTAGCAAAGGGCACATGGGCCTGCCATTGCACACTGAATTTCTGAGGATGTCACATTTGACACTAGCTTAATAGAGCAGAATGTTTCTGCATTTCTAAATAATCAAATTCATTTGAACTAATGGGTTTATAGATTGATTTGTTAAAGGGCCTCACTTGTTTGAAATAAAAGAGTTTGATTTAGTATGTTAATATGATAAAGTTTTGAGATCATAAGACCATTCATTCAATGCTCCATACAGTCCATATTAGGCAACTAAGCTCCAAAGACAGACTAGTATTAATTCATCAGTCGCAAAAAACAACTAATTTACATACATCCACTTTTTCAGCAGTTTAGCTCTGCCTAGAGCAGCTATAAACATCAGAACTTGTAAGTACAACTGAAAGCACAGAAATCTCATACCAATCCCTGCTATTGTTAATAACTCAATGTAACTCAAGCATATGGGCTCAATTTTCATGGGTGGGAGTTCAGTTTAGTGATGTAAAAACAGGGCTGTTCTCACCCCATTTCTGTTTTTATGGCCAGAAATTAAAGTACCTGCACTGCATAACAAAAGGTGTGACATTCAAAATCTACCAGCACTTAGACCAAATTTGTGCTTATGTTGCCGCCCCACCCAAAATCCACTTGCAGGGCCGAAATGTTATTTTCCTGACGATAAAGTGCTGTCCTATTACTTCCAACCTGGTTTTGTGGATGTACCACTAAAATGTGACACTGTTACAACCCAATAATAACTCAGTTAGCACTGATGTCCTTGTAGTTACTGAATAATAAGGCTTATAGGCCTGGGATTTTAATGAACCAAATACCAGAGTCAATAAATTTACTGCCATCTAAAAATATTTTGAGCACCACCTACACACACGCAAGAAGACAGAAAATGCATTGTTGCACTTTCTGTCAGTAAGCCTGTTAATTTTACCACTAAATTACTGCTGTAAAATCTGTTCTATATACAGGATAGATTATATATAGGATTAATGACATACTGATATATGTAATGATGCATATCCATGTGAGACACTGCCATTATGAAAATATTATTTAGGAGTTGATTTGATTGAATATTGCTGCAGAATACCTAATCATGCCTGTTAGAAATATATCTGCTTTTTGCAGGTTATTTCCTGTGTCAACGGACACAAAAATGCCAATAATATATCTTCCAAACCCACACAAGCCAACATCCAAACTTTGCATCTTATTTATTTATTTATTATCTTATTTTATTTTTTATGTTATGATCCCAGAAATAGGGCTCTATATTTCTATAAACTGCCTGCGTCATTGCAAAAAGCTGCATGTTGAAGGAGATGCATGTCGTAATATTTGTTTTACCACTTGCAGAAACTGTCATACCTGAGGAATGGAAAAAAGTGTCTGTTTCTTTAAATGAGTATTTATTATTTCTTTGCTCTGGTCTCCAGGTTCTAAAGGTTACCCGGGGGTTCCAGGAGAAGAGGGGCATCATGGATTACCTGGAGAACCCAGCCATGATAAGGGTGTACAAGGATCTCCTGGAGCTCAGGGACTACCTGGGCAAAAGGGGATGCCGGGAACTACAGGAACTCCAGGAATTCCTGGTTTTCCTGGAATGAGTGGACCCCGGGTAAGTTAAGGCAAAACCCATGCATGTATGTGCACCTTTTTTGGTTATGTTCCCACACCAACCTGTCTCTGAAGGCAAAATCTGTACAATTATTATGCATTAAGTACTACATTTATAAGATGGATTTTATAAGTGACCATTTAGTTGTAATACTGCTTAGAAAGTTGAGCTTTATGTATATTTAAAGCAACACAAATGGGGTTACTAACAGTTTGGAAGCTGTTTGTTACACATTACAATTAAGCATATCATGTGATTAGGCTTTACAAAGTAATCCTTTAAAGGGCATAGTAAAGAAACAGAAGTATGGCATTACAGAAACTTATCATGGCTAGTAGCATGGGTTTCAGGTCTGCAGCTACTGATAACAGCAGTCAGTTTGTGTTGGTGTTGGGTTGGGGTAAGCCTTCTTTTAAGTAATGCTAGAATCTTTTAGAGCCAGACTTCACAGACTAGAATTGGCCCAATCCACCATTATCCATACTACAGCACTACATTAGCCTCTAATGTAGCACTCTATCAGGTAGCACTGCAATGTAGCACTGTATCTCACCCTGCTTTCTAATGTATGTTTATGTCTTCCTATAAATTTACATCAATGAAATTTGTCTTTGATGTCATTATTAATATCACAGGGGGAGAAAGGTTCACCTGGTGCATATGGAGCAACAGGAGATTCTGGACTCAAGGGGATCAAAGGTGATTTTGAGATTTTACATATGCCATGTGAGAGGTATGGTCATTGCAAGTGTAAAATGGGCATTCAGCTGATAAAACACATGGAGGTTGTGAGATGATTATTATACCTTATTAGCTAGTAATTAGGTGTCATTTATTGTTTTTTGCCAATTTTGGGGTTGTTTGAGCCAGGGGTTAAATTGAGGGGGCTGTGAGGGTCCCGGACAAGGGACATGGGACCTGGAAAGTGACCCCCATAAGAGAAATAAAATTGAACTTGGTGTGTGTTATGTTAATATTAAAATCTTTCCCTTAGATAAGCTTGAATCATATGTTTTTGTGTAATAGACAATAAATGGCCAGAATTTTAAACAGTTGCCTGGCAAACTAAATCGTAATTTGGTTTAATTTCTTATAAGATGCATCAAACCTGCCTGCCGAAAAAGGCTGAATCAGTAAAAAAGACTAAGAATAATTCAAATGTGTGAAGTGAAATGACCTCTGACTAGTAATACTAGTAAAATAACCAACAGGGGTAAACCTCATTAAAGTGGTATTCATTGATATATATATATATATATATATATGACCATTAAATTATCATTAGTAGTCGTATATGATTACTCTCTGTTGATTGGCTGTCCTCTTCTTTGTTTTGGCCATGGTGAATGTTGGATTGACGTCACAACTCAGCCAATTCAGTTTCAATTTCAGTGTAAAATTTCAGTGTACCCAACTTCAACCGACTTTAAAGGGTTAATGTAGTGCCTCCTGGTGGAAAACCCAATTTTCTGATAAAACCGAACAAAGTAGTTACTGGCAGCTGATAATTGCTAACTGAGAGTGTTATGCTTCAGGTGACCAGGGTGATACCATAGACCTCCCTGGACCCACAGGACCAAGAGGGGAATCTGGTCTTACTGGACCTTCAGGTAAGGCATTCAACTTTCTACTCATGAGCTGACCAAGAAGAACTAGAGAACTTTTATGAGTTCAGCAGTGGTGGAGGGCTAATAATGAGGAATTACTGGGCTTTGTACAGGGCATAAGGGTTTTCCAGGTGGGCCTGGAGAAAGAGGAAGTTCTGGTTTTGATGGCATTGAAGGAATGAAAGGGTATCAAGGTGAACCTGGACTGGAAGGGGCACCAGGTAAGAGAATTCAATTGTGATGAATCACTCTGAGTGGATAAAACAATGGATCCTGGTTTATGTATTAGTCTGTTTCGTACTAATTCACAGACAGCACAACTGGATCACCTCCATTCTTTTGGCAGGTTTTAAAGGGCTACAGGGTTTTCCAGGAAACCAGGGTACTAAGGGTTGGGCAGGAGTGCCGGGAGAGGCAGGGGGCAGTGGTAAACCAGGCCATCCTGGACAAAAAGGTATGTCTAAGCTAATACCAATTAATTTACAGGAGTGGTAGAATTGGTTCTTCCTTTCTTTACTCAATAAGGTGGGAAGTAAATAGTTACATTTATTCACTTAGAGTTACCTATTCATTTTCATGAATTTGTATTTCTCTGAGCATTTTCAAATAATACTCTTTTTACTTAAACTCTAGTATATTTGTGAGGAATATAAGCTCCATCATTTTTAGTCAGTCATACTGAGTTCCTAATTCCTTTTCTGGGGATTATGTTGTGTTGGTTCAACACCTGGACTGCATAGCTGTTGTTCAGGCTTTTGTCCTTGTATCTTTTGGTCATTCGATTTTCATTTCAAAACCAGTACTGAAAAACGGGACAATGGATCAATTCTTGTTTTTGGTTCTGTTATTGTAAGTGCAAAAATCAAGAAATTTCACAAACTAATCATGAAATCAAATAACTAACAACAATGAATAAAAGGTCATTTTTTACTTATACAAACTTAAAAAATTCTATCACTTCAACTGGAAATAAACATGCGCACACAAAAGCTCAGAAATTAGGAAGTCACAGTAAAAAGATCAGACATGAGTCTTGAGATGACAGGCCTAGGTCTGGCATTTTGGGAAGCTTTATGACGTTTTTGTAGGTGTTTGTTTATTTGATGTAACTTTCTATTATGAAAAAAAACTGAACCAATATGAGGAAGAGACTCCCGTACTGGACAAAACGAAAGATACGTGAAAATCACGTTGCTCAATAATGAGGAGAGAATTTAATTCTGTGAAGTTATGTAGTCAGAGGTGAACATACAGCAAGTGTGTTATTGCGCCAGACTTGAGGATTAAATCTGTGAGAAGAGGCGCGTCATGCCAGCTACGTAAAATAGTGTCATATCTGAAGTTTTGTAGAAAGACCACAGCAGAAACTCTTTCTCCCTCCTAGCTAACATCCTACATTTTCTCATCTCTCCCTTCTGTTTCCTGTCCAAATGTTTTCACAACCTTCTCATCCCCACCCTATTCCTCCCGACTTCTGTCTCCTTCTTGTGTAAAACAGAATCTTCTCAGAAGTCAAGTTCCCTCAGAAATTGAATTGGAATGCCTGATGTGATAATTGTTTTCAAAACTGCCCAAGAAATTTACAGAAATATACTGTCACTTGAATCTTTCTACAAATATTCAGTGCAGCCTGGGGGATTGGCAAGTTCACTAGGTAAAAGAGTGATATAAGCAATGTAAGGTAATATGCAATAATTGCCTATGAATGTTGGAAATCTATAAATATATCCTGGAAGTAATTGTGGATGATGCACTAGTTTAGTTACTGCCATTTGTACAGCAGGAATGGCAACAGTTGTCAGTTAAAACATAAAACAGTTAAAATGATTAGATATTTTAAATTATTGCACAATTATTGTATAATTATTCATGAAAAGAGCAATTTGTCCAGATTTGCACTGAAAGTGTAAAAGTAAGCATTGAAGTAAGTACAAAACCCACCTGCTGTGGAAAATTTGCAGTGTCAGTTGTACACCAGTTATTATTTTTTAATTATTAATTAAATACTGAAAACTCCAATTTGTGAGCACAGCACTGTAGTCCACTACAGCTGTAAGTACATTAACTGTAGCTTTTTTTGTTCATTGTTTTATTGCATATTTTGTTATTGAAAATCCTCAGCTGTTGCAGTGCTAAAAAAGTAATGTACTGCTTTATCAAATAATATCTCATATTCTGTAATGCACATCAGTATGACAGTTATTTATTGAAAAAGTTCCTCCAAGACTGGATTCCTGCACAGTTTGGTGATTTTCCTGCTGAAAACACAGGTTTAGTAAGCATGTTAGAACAGAGAAATCAGCAAACTGTGCTGGACTGTGGCCCTGAGTTCCCCACCCCTGATTTGTTGTATTCAGATTTACTGTAATAAAGTAAAAAGATTAAAATAAAGTTCAGTTGACATGGACATAATCTGTTCCCCGTCTTTAGGCTTTCCTGGACTTAAAGGAATTTTTGGGTTGGATGGACTTAAAGGTCAAAAAGGTCTTCAAGGCATTCCAGGTAATCCTCTATCACTGACAGTTATTCAAAAGTAACCTTTAGAGAAATCATAGTCATAGCCAAATTATCTACAGCTGCAAATTCAGTTATAATTATCTGTAATTACCAACTATGTAAACAGACTGTCAGTTTACCACATGCAGGCTATTCACTGTTTAGTGTTGTCTTTGTTTATGTAGCCATGTTACAAAACTTATGTTTTTAAGTTGTTCATATTTATTTATTGTTAAACTATGTTATAATTTGTGTCTATAACTGCCATTGTTAGGTACTGACACCCGGGGGTTACCAGGTGAGCTTGGACCGAAAGGGGAAAAAGGAGAGATAGGCATTCCCAGCGCAGAGGTTGGTGTCCCAGGGGTCCATGGCTTTAAGGGTTCATCAGGAGATCCAGGTGGGTCATCAAGTATATTATTGCTTTTGTGGCAAAACCTTGTATTTCTGAAATGGTAGCGTAATAAGAGAAGGAAAAATATTTTTAGCATTAATGTTCACTATCGCAGTAAGTTTTTATTAGAAATAATTTTGGATCATTCCTGTTGGTCCATTCGTCATTGAAGTTCTCTCAGTATAAAGGGCAGCTGGCAGTGTAAATAAATAAATAAATAAGTAAAAGGTGTCACAAAGGTTTTTAAATGGCAGTGGCAATATGCTTTCTTAATTTGCAAAGTGGGATTCATTATGATTTTCTTAATGTCTTTTTGTCTGAAGTTTTACTTTTGAAAGTGTTAAAAGAGCAGTCTCAAAAAGTATAGAAGATCTTAAGAGCAAGACTTTATATTTTGATATGTTTTGTGACTGTGAAAGCATGAAATCATAGGTGTTGCATTTTCTTTAGGTAATCAGGGTGAACCAGGTCTTCCAGGTGTTCAAGGGCCTCAAGGGACACATGGAATCCCTGGCAGAAAGGGTGTGTCAGGAGATAGAGGACCACGTGGGCAGAAAGGTCTTCCAGGTAAAGCAATAAGTATACTGTGCAACATTGACAGTAATGACAGCTAGTTAGCTATATGCAAAGCAAGCTCATAGAATTATTTTACAGATTTAATCAGAAAGATAAAATAATAATGCAGCAAAATAATGAAGCAAAAACTCTATAAAACATTTGACAGTGAAGCACAGTGTAGTAACGATGTCATCACCAGCTTTTCTGATAGGAGATTTTGTGCTTCTTCAGGTTTTCCTGGACCCACTGGTCCTTCAGGTTTTTCATCTCCATTTGGACCTAAAGGAGATCGAGGCTTTCCAGGGGAAGTTGGAATCACAGGACTTAAAGGGGTTCAGGGGGACACAGGAGAGAAAGGACTACCTGGACAGTCTGGAGTGTCAGGAAGAAAAGGTATAAAAATAATGATTACATATGTATTTGAGATGAAACAGAATATGAGTACATTTTCTGGAATTAACAGTTTTGCAGAAATACAAATAGGCAGTGTACTGTTTGTTTTCTTTTCTCTGAAAGTATTTGCTCACATTAAAGACCTGATTTCTAAGCGTTCTTGCTTTTTAGACTAATGCCACAACACGAGATAGACACCACAAGATACACTTTAAACTCTGCTTCCCCATGTGTGTTTCAACTCATTCATCAGTCTTGTTCGCCAGTAGCCTAATCTTGATCCTGCTAACCAGAATTAAACTCCAGAATAATCTGCTAATTACATACCAAGCGGGCCAAAATGCATGAAGTTTGTAATCTGAAAAATAGCATGTTACTCATCACCTTGATTTAGTAGAGGCTTTTCATTAATTCACTTTTCTCTTGTTTGGCCAAATTAATTGACTCTCTAATTGACTGTCTCACTGGTTAATTGCCTCACTAAAAGAAAAACACTTTTATACACAGATTTGTTGACTACAGTATGATTTTTAGTTTAACACTTCCCAGTTGAAACACCCCACTGTCCCAGTTAAAACTTCCCAGCAAGGCTATATACATCAAATCCTTGTAGGGATGTGAGTTGAGCCAATATTAATGAATTAATATTTAAGCACAAAACAGAGGCAGGTAGTGGCATTGTGTTACAATGCTTTAAGGTGTTACAGGGCACAAACTACCAAACACAGGAAACTGACAATGTTAACAACACGCATCACTCTGCATACAAAGTATAGCAATGAACATTTTCAAGCTTTATCTGTTTGCTTCTGATCGGAGCAAAATTCAAATTACTTCCCCACCAGCTTCATTTCAGTCAGGCTTTTGTGGGCTTTTCTTAGGGCTGGTAAGATTAAACTCAAATTCTAGGACTAGGCTTATCTTGAAATCCACTCTTTAACATTTTAACATACTTACTGCATCAAGTCCTTTTTACAATACATCTTCTCTGCAGGTGTAAAAGGACAGCAAGGAATGATGGGATTCCCAGGAAGACCAGGATTCCAGGGTGATAGAGGCCCTTCTGGTCCAAAAGGAGACACTGGACCACCGGGTAATTAATTGTACTCTTTGTAATTTTCTTGATCATCATCATCCCTTCTCTGTCCGTCTATGGCACATTCTGTTAGCCTTCTGTCTTTTTAGAAGCAAAAAATATTTTTACCTATTTGTTTACCTAAGTTTCTCAGAACATCCAACCTCCCAAAGGGTTACCCTCTATTACAGGCAGTTTAATGTCCATGTCTTAACTTCTTCAGGCTTTCCTGGTGCCCCTGGTGCTAAGGGGCTGCCTCCAGTTCCTGTGAAGGTACCAGGAGAAAGAGGGCCGCCTGGTCTGCATGGTATTCGTGGACCAGATGGAGTCAGAGGGGAGACAGGCCCGTTTGGACTCCCTGGAGATCAAGGTAAAATAAAACGGAAGGCTACCAAATCAGCTTCTGGAATAATTAAATTTTTTTAGCTCTGAAATGTGTACATTCACTACATGAGCTGTCACTTTAGTGACAAGGAGACTTCTTGTCCTAGGGTTTTTGGGACCAAAGGGGCAGAAGGGGATGCCAGGGCTACCTGGAATACCAGGACAACCAGGTTTTCGTGGAGATTCCGGATCAGTGGGCCATCCAGGCCTCCAGGGATTAGAAGGTAAGTGGATTGGGCATGTTTTAGTGAATGTGGGAGGATTATGATTACAGCATTCTGGTCTATGTCAGGATTTGAGGTGGCAGGTCACCAAGATATTCTGAGAGATTTTAGAATGGCTAAGCAAAATGAGTCAAATACTTTCTTGCATTTGTAGGCAGTTACAGTAAGTGCCCTCATTTATACATAATCTTGTTGATGCTATTACAGTTTACTGCATCTGTTCATGTTCTAAGGGAATTAAGAATTTGTGCCTGCTTTTTCCAGGGGCCCATGGGCGTCCTGGTATTCCAGGTCATCCGGGTATGCCAGGGCGAAGTGTCAGTGTTGGATACCTGCTGGTGAAACACAGTCAGTCTGAGCAGACACCCATGTGCCCTGTGGGAATGTCAAAGCTGTGGGATGGCTACAGTCTGCTTTATTTTGAAGGGCAAGAGAAAGCTCATAATCAGGACCTGGGTGAGTAAAGTAGGTTTTAGCAGAATAACAGAGGATTAGCACTAACAGCCAGTACAATTCTTAACTGCTTGCCAACACTCTTGGCACCTTGCTTGTCACTTTGTTTACCTTAAAATGTACTAATAACTGCTCATAAAACAGGTTTTAAGGGTTTTAAAGGCATGCTGTATTGGTCCTTATCCAGGTCTTGCAGGCTCTTGTCTTCCCCGTTTCAACACCATGCCGTTCTTGTACTGCAATCCCGGTGACGTGTGCTACTATGCCAGTCGCAATGACAAATCCTATTGGCTCTCCACAACTGCCCCTATTCCCATGATGCCTGTGGAGGAGGCAGACATCAAACCATACATAAGCCGCTGTTCAGTGTGCGAAGCTCCATCTGTGGCTATAGCTGTGCACAGTCAGGATATAACTATTCCACAGTGCCCTGTAGGCTGGAGAAGCTTGTGGATTGGCTATTCTTTCCTTATGGTGAGTCTCCAGTCATTTCTATTCACTGTTACATGTTATCATTCTGTGGTATACTGTATAGGGCAGAAGTCAGAGACCACATTTTAATTTATTTAATTTCTAGTTAGAATGGCTATTGGGTACAAGTTATTCAGTTCTTCAGTGTCTGGAAAAAAGCAGAAAATGTACATAGTACAAAATTACACAGAAGCCTCAACAAGCAATCATTGGGTGGAAGGCATTTGAGATACATGACAGAGATATTTGTGAGGCAGCTAAGGTGTGTTTGGGTGCTTGCTTGTGTAAATGTTAGGGTCTCTTTGAAGGGGAACATAATGTCAGTGACATGTTTGAGAACAGCTGTTGTTGGGAGCTGTAACCAACTGTAACTGGTCAGTTTTAGGATGGGAAGGATGGAAGCATTAAAGTGGCAGTAGGGTGCATAAAAGTAAAGAGTGGACAAAGTATATACTGACAGATTTGTTATTATACTTCGTGCTGGCGGCGCTTCTGTTATATACATTTCCTGCTTTTTTCCTCACTCTGAAAAATAAATAAGTTAATGGGTGTTTTGACTAGAAACTGAATAAATGAAAGGGTGGTATCAGACTTATGCAATGCTGTAAATTATTTAACAATGTTGATAGTCGGTGAGTCATGGATGTGGATAACAAATGTAAAAGACACGAAGGCAAATACATTTTTGTGTAGTAGTAGTTTTTGTGTCATTCATAATGGAGCATATACTGTGTCACTATGTCTCATACACAGCACACGGCAGCTGGAGACGAGGGAGGTGGTCAGTCACTGGTGTCTCCAGGCTCATGTCTGGAGGACTTCCGTACAACTCCCTTCATCGAGTGTAACGGAGCCAAGGGCACCTGCCACTACTTTGCTAACAAGTACAGTTTCTGGCTGACATCCATCAACCAGCCCTTCCAGAGTTCCCCTGACTCCGAGACTCTAAAAGCCGGGCAGCTTCTCTCACGCATCAGCCGCTGCCAGGTCTGCATGAAGAACCTGTGATTTGAAACCTATGAACTCTGACATGAGGGAGTGAACATTTCAACAGTGTTAAGGTTGCCTTTCAGGTAACAAAATTAAGCTTTATGATTCACACTGCGATCAAATTATGGTAACTAGGAGAATCAGGATTGTTGCATAAACTTGAAATATCATAAAGATAGTTTTTTGATAACTGCACCAAATCACATAAAACATGCAGAGCAAACATTTACACTGCCATAAATGGCCCTCAAAGTCACTCTGTCTTATTAAATCCCCTTCTCCACTATGTGCCTGAGGACTGAAAAAGACATGTAAATGTATTGAGCATAGAGAAGTCAAAGGAGCATCAAAAGCATAGATATCATTTTTGTTTGTGTCTATTTACTTATGTTACATTTGAAATGGTGCTTGTTTTCCTAACTTATTACCTCACTTATTATCAACTCCATTCTGTGTAATTAATATTACCAAGAGCATACAGCAGAACCAAAGACGCCCATGTTAATGCACTGTTTCCCTTATATGCATCTTCGTGTGTCACTGTGTGCACCACTGCCACACAAAGTAAAGTGTTAGCCTCCGTATGACTCCAGACGCTTAACTACTGCACTGGCTAAGACAACTACATTGACCATCCACTAGTGATTAAGCTGCAGCAGTTGTGGCAGCTTAAGTTGGAGCAATGTAGTGTTTGCTTAACACTTTAAATATGCTTTATCGTCAGGAAATTATAACTCTCTAGTTCACTAACATTGTTCTTCAACTGTAATTGGTATTGCATAGAAATTGTATCAAATTACCTGCACTTAAAATACATTATGTTGGTCCACCATTTATGCTATGCTTCCTCAGCTGTTGCTGAGCACTATGCATATACGTACCTTGGTTACACAGCTCATTTGCAGACCACTATTAGATTTGCTTAAGAAAAGGGTAATTCAGAACCTTCTTTACAACACTTTGTAAATTTTGTCTTACTAAACAGAATATGGGTCATATATTCATTCATTTTGTATTCTCTAAATTACACAGATTGCACTGATTTCAGTTCTGAGCTTTACAGAATTGACACTTACAGACAGTTTGACTATATTCATGGCATAGTCATTGTTGATTTGAATGTGTTTTTTGTTTCATAGCCAAAGGCACACACTATTGGCTTGTTTACTGCAGGTATTTCTTCCAGAAATCAAAAGAAGATATTTCTAAAGAGCAGCCTTTAAATGATTAATAGACCAAATCAAACAGTGTGCTTGAACACGTACTTTGCTTGGCTATACTTACCACATGCCTTACCAAGTTTAATGTGCCTTTTCTATCCTTGTTCTGAAAAACCATGAACATGTACAATGAAGTTGAACAAGGTACCATCACAATGGAAATCCCTTTTTGCCATATATTTCAATAATACTGTTCAATTACCCAAGTGCTTTTTTAAATAATGTAATTATGTGGGAAATAATTTTTGAACATGTTCTGAATGATTGTGAATGTGACCATAATTGAGTAACAGCCAAATAAATGCTTCCGTTTGTTACTTTTTCTGGTACTTGTCATTTGTTTGTTTGAGCTCTCCAGAGATAATCATCAATGGCTTGTGACAGTTTGGGTTATGCAAAGATACATCAAAGACATTTAACATAAGCTCCCAAAATCTTTTTATGCACTAACAAAACTCATAATGCAACAATAGAGTCATTATTTTCCCAACATATGATGCAGGATTAGGTATTTCAAATATAAAAATAAGTATAAAATATTATTAGCATTAAGATGAGCATCTGCATGCCAACAATGCTGTCAGTGATTAGGAAACTTACTATAAAAGATCACTCTTCATATCTAAGTTGTTCATGGAAACATCTGAAGACATTAATTAAGAATAAGAAGTTGTATTTGTATCATCACATATAATAACTATAAGATAAAATAAGACTAGTGTGATCACAGAAGGGGGGAAACAATTATTCAAAATGTTGCTTAATAACCTATTAAGTCCTGTTTCCTTGATTTTATATCCCAGAATACTACATTGAACCCAAGCAAATCTTCAGTAGTGCTTTCGTTTACAGTCCACTAAGTTCTAGGTATTAAGCAGGCAAGTGTCTGGTACAAACCCCAAAGTACAATGTAATTATTTTGGTAAATTCCAATCCAGATTAACCAAATTACCCTGAAATTTCTAACAGGTTGAAGCTACTAACTAGATAATACAATCTCAAAAGTGCTGTGGTATTATTTTGGGTAAAATGATAGTAACCACTGAACAAGTTCTAGATATTAAGCAGCACATAGAAAAATAACTCATAAATGGATAATTATATGGAGTAATAATGTATCAAGGACAAACAATCAAAATTTTACAGTTATGTCACACAGTTAAGTGGAAGAAGTACCAGGTAGCTATGTGTGGTAAAATGTCTGTACTAAGACACTTATCTAGAACCAAAACTGAATTTGGGCTGTAAAAGAAAGCAATGATTTTTACTTTGGTTTCATTGGGTTTTACAATTTACTTTCCTGCTTAAAACACAATTGTTACTGTGAAATTCTGTTCAAGTTCGTTTGTGCTTAATAATTTGTTACTGCAAAAAATGTTTTACTATGTCCTTTATCAGCTTAATAGAACCTGTTAGAGGTTAGAGTGTTATTTTGTTGGACTGTCTTGAAACCCACCCCTATATTATTATTATTATTATTATTATTATTATTAGGTGCCACCAACATAATTACACAGCATTTTGGAGATTATACCACACACATAACAGTTAATAGTTAGGACCTGTTGGGAAAATTTACTCTAATAAATTTACTCTAATATATTTACAGAAGCAGGGTCCACCTTTCTCAATGATTCTTCAAAGGGCTTACCATACTATTCCATAGAGTCCAAACAACGTTCCGTTGCTTTCTTGTATTTGGCAGTAAAATTAATTCATGTTTCTTGTCCCTTCTGTGTCCCTCCTAGCTACAGCAGCCAGCTTTATTCTTCATCTCTGTTCTGGGTGCTTCCAGGTCCACAGTGGAGCTCTCCCCATCATTTCTCTTCTTCAGGATGGAGGGCAACACCATGTCAAACACTGTCTCAAACAACACATCCACATTGTATCCAGTTTTAGCACTAGTCTCAAAACACATTCTTTCAGCAGGCAGACAGGCTTTCTCCTCCAGGCCTTTGTAACGTAGGACACGTCCATACAGAGCCATGGCGTCCTCTCTGTTCACCTGTTTGTGTAGCAGGGGAGAGACAGGAGGAGGAGGCAGGCTTAGAGGTGCAGCGTCAGCTTCAGACTCAACCTCCTGTCCAGGCTGTGGATCTGTCACATGGGTTTGCAGGTCAGTCAGGTCAGCTTTGTTGCCTACTATGATAAAGATGCAGTCAGAGTTGGCAGTGTCGGTTAAGGAAAGGAAGCGGTTCTCCAGCTCCACGTAGCTTTGCCAGTTCGTGACGTCATAGATGAGGATGACTGCGGCCGCTCCACGACAGTACATAGAGCCGAGGCCATGGAACTGCTCTCGACCTATACAAGATATTAAGGTATAAGATCACTGTCTATAATGCTAATATGGTGCTACTGAAAGCAGTGCTTTCATACTTTAGTCCGGTAGTGCAGTGGTTCTCAACCCTGATCCTGGATTTGTATGTTATCTCAGCTCTAACACACCCACTTCAGCTCAGAAAGGGCTTATAAATAGGTTGATTCGTTGAATCAGGTGTGTCAGAGCAGGAACAACACATGTAAAGCTGGGAGCCTCCAGGACCTGGATTGACAACCACCTGCATGGCACAGTTCTGTGTTTACCAGCACAGTAGCCAGTAATGATCAGATCTTGGGACTTAAGTTACAGAAGATCATTTGCCGGGCGCTTCATAAAAATACATAAAAATATATTATAAAAAATGGCAGATTTGCTATTTAGACTAAGTGCAAATAGAACGGCGTTGCTGCTGCATATTTACTTAGTGTAAGTAGCACATTTACACTGTTCAAGGTAACATGATGCTAATGCATGATTTATTTCTTAATACTGAATCAGCAGTATTACCTTATATTTCTGCAATAAATGATTCTGCTTTTCTATCAAGCTGTACCTAAGGTCATTCTTATCAACCACTCTCTTTCTTAGGGTTTTGGTGTCTTATACTATTGCTTATATTTGTATATGTGCATTTTTTAAAAATCTAATTTGTACATATCACTATTAAAAGTACATTTTGATTGCAACAACTTAAGTTGATCTGAAAGAGCAACTAAATCTTTTTGTTTCATTTACATACATAATTATAAATTACATACATATATTTATTACATACATAATCTAGAAATATGAATAAGTACCAAGGCCAGTGGTGTTATCCACTACACTAACCCAACCCGCATCATCACACTGTCCTAGATTTTGTTTCAGCTAATCAACTGTTATTGTTAGATTGATATTTTACATATTTATTAATTCAATACCGGTTGAGCAGTGAGTGGAACGTTGACTCAGTTGTTCTGGTTAATACTAAATAACCTCTCCAGTTCTCCCTTGAACACTGCTTCTTTCAATGCTGCTTCATTTGTGTTCATGGAAAGTATGAAAACTGCAGCAAAAATAAATGATTCGATGTTGTAAAGTCACATGATTTACCAGCCGAAGTTACTGCAAATAGCCAGGCTGTGTGGTTAATGCTTTTTCGCTTAGTGTAAATGAACACTGCCTATAAATAAAGAGTAGCGTGGAGTCGTAGGTAGGCCCTCAGCGACAAAGCCATTATTTTCTTTTATTAGCTAAATTTTTCTTTTTTCCAGAATGCATCAGCTAAAACCTGGTTTCTGTCTGTTTTCTACTTCCAATACAGATGGCGCAATACCACTTTGAAAATCAGTGAATGTGGATAGCGATCCATTCTTTTTCTTTTAAAGCCTGTTAAGCTTTAAAATGAGCTGTTTGTAATTGAAGTACTTCATTTAAAGCAGAAATCCACCGTCTTTCAAAATTTCTGTATAATTCTGTCGTTAAGGTGTGAAGAGTCATTCAAAGTGTTTGATGTGAGATTTTGCATTGTAGAGAAATTTTTTTGCATTGTAGATTTCTTTACAGTGGTGGTGATAAAAGATCAGGGGTCACAATGATTACAACACAAAATATTTCATTTAAGATCCAAAACCACCAGTGAACCTACATGTCTTCTGAGTTTTTATCTGTAATGTAAAATAGTGATCAATGATCAAAGTAGTGATCATATGTAGTTATATGAAAAAAAACTTTTACCTTTTACCTGTCTGCCATGAATGGATTGTAAAAAGTCAAAAAATTCTTAAAGCTATTAGTCAAGAAAAATGTCTCAGATAGCATATTTGTAATCATTTAATGTAATAAGTTTCCATAAAGGAGCTTTTAGAGACATTCTTAATGTCTTCAGACACCTGGTTCCTATCACCATTAATGTGAACAATTCTGACTGCAAGTTTCTGTAGAATGGAGGATTTCACATTGGATCTCCTTTACGATGAGTTTCTAAAAAGAGGTTATCATGCTCAAATAGCTCACACTACTCAAATACACTACTACCTCACAGGAAGTGCAAGAAATACAAAACTCAACAACATGTCAGCACACAGTGTGAGTGCTGTTTCAGGCTAGATTTGTTACCGTTGATAGGTAGTATCAGATCACTGCTTCTCTGCTGTGTAAGATTTCCTGTGTACTTTTAAGAGAAGCAAACAGGACCAAATTGTCCAATAGAAACCTATTTCAGGTTTGTAAGACCAAGACCTTTAACAGGGTCCAAATACTTATTAAGTGCAGTTTGTTAACTTTATTAATGTAAACTTTAACTGGGTGGGCAAATATGATGACATTAATCATTTTCTTGATAAATTATCACAACACATTACATTTCATACATTTCTGAACATATATGAACAGTATTTAAATTACACTGATCAACTATGTTTCATTACAAAGAGAAGAAAAATAGGTTTGCTTAAATAAATTTGGTATTTAGGATTTGAAGTGCTGAATAAAAGGTGTTGTATTCATAGTTTTTAATAATATTTTCTACTTTCTCCTGTAGAAAAACAAAACAAAAGAAATCTGTACGGTGCAGGTGGACAACAGTGCTAGTGTTAGAAAACTGAGTCAGAGAACGTTTTCCGGTGAGAATTAAGATAGTAGATTTAAGAAAATAATGAGGAGTAGACCCACAAGTTCAAAGACTGTAAGAAGTGAAACACAAGGGCCTGCTGTTTTAGAAATATGCAGTGGTCCTCAGCCCTCAAGTCTCACTACAATAGCTCTCAGTGTGCATGCACATTTATGCCCGTTTGAGGATGTGAGAGTAGGCTTTGTTCCTCATTCAGCAAATATGTATTGAATGTAGTATTAAGTCTGTCCACTATAATGCTACTCAGTAAGCGTGTTACTTATCTGTATATATGATGTATATGTATATATTATTTTTAGGTTCAGTAATGGTCTGCTGAGAACCACTAATAGAAAGAAAGAAGGAAATGAGTGTGCTGGATGAGTAAATGCGGATCACTCCGCTGACTACTCAGAAGCTAATCTTATCATTAAAATACTCTGCAAAACAGTAGATAAAGACAGTTCAGATAAAAAGCTCCCACACCCATCCACCTGCTCTTAACCTCTGCAGTGACCCCAGAGCAAAAGTGATGAGAAACCACCACTTACTGACACCGCAACTATGCATAGTCATCTATTTGTGAGCTACCAGAAGCTAATGACATTTGTTCTAAAAAAAACTGTAGTGCTTCATGCATGCTTCCATCAGCACAGATGCAGTACGTGATCCAGCTCCATGAGTGGCTAAAAGGTCATCTCTGAGCAAAACCTACAAAAGACCTTCTCCCAGTGCTTCTCCAAAAAACAGAGAATATGAACAGAAAACCCTATGCAGGTTAAGCATGTGAGACAGAGAGAGAGAGAGGCATTTAGCATAAGATCTCATGACAATTCTTTCACCTTCCCACTAGAATAGTATGTTGAATGTACTTTATAATGGGGAACTAAGATGCCCCATGATGCCTCACTAGATACCTCATAAGAAGTACACGTGTTGACTCAGAAGCTTTGCTCAACAGTGGCCATGTGCAGAGTTGCTACACCACACAGTCTAGGCTCCTGCAGATATTCTGTAGCCTGTGTCATATGACTTTGTGACCTCAAGTGTATCTGTCTCCATTACTGCACGGCAGTCTGTTCAATCATTGCCAAAATAGAGCGCACAAGGCCGAATGAACTTATCATGGTAGGCCACATGCTGGAGCCTACAGCAAAGACTAAAACACACTCTTTCTAGATTTATCAGTTAGAAAAAAGTAATCTAAAAACAAAAGCATAAGTATTGGCTCTATATTTCAGGGGTATGACTGATCCATCAAGAAAACCGTTGTTTTTTTGTCCACACAGAGAAAGTTTACAGAGTACTCATTTAGCTTGTGATCTGTAAAATCTCTTTTGGATTTAACAAAAAGAACTGTCTGTGTTTTGGATAAATCCACTCATAATTCAACCTATTCCCACTTTGGCTCATTAGAATAATAAAGAAATGCCATCTGAGTGTTATTTTTTATTGGTAGCCTAATAAAAGTTAGCCAATATAGGCTTGTGTTGTGTGTTTTTTCACTCTTTCTTAAGGTCCTATTTGAGTTTAATAGCAGAATTGGTGATTATTATTTGTTAAAATATCTGTAGCTTTGCAATGCATAATAATAATCTATGCAAGAAAAATGCAAATCATAATCAGTCCAACCAGATATGTCCCTGCTTTTGTCTAAGACAGATATTTGATTGGCTAAAACTGAAAGATTATTCATTTAACTGGCTTAGCTAAGCCAAACTGCATAGCCTACGTCACAACTGGGGAACGCTGAGTCAATTTAAAACGACATTATCAATCAAATATTGCTGATGTCACAGCGGACTCACGTGCCATATTAAACTTACTAATAACTAGAATAACTTATGATGAATATTTTAATTATTGTACAAGTAAGTCTGGCCCAAGTCTGCACGAAATGAATCTTCATGGAGCTACAAAGTTGTTATATGTTTGAATTAACCTAGCATTAATAAGAACTAAGCTGCAATGGACCTACCTGCAGTGTCCCATATGGAGATGTTGTAAGGTCCCCACTGTTTCAAAAAGAACGCCCCTCCGACCGTGCTGACAGTGTCCTTGAATTTCCTCTCTGTGTACCTGTGGAGCAAAGACGTTTTACCCACATTCATGTCACCCAGAATGACAACTTTCACGTCAGGCTTCTTCATTTTGGCAGATTCGGTCATAGTATTCAGCACACAGCTCTGGTTTACCCTCCACGACGAAGCAGCGATCCCAACACTACTGAACTTTCATCTAAACATACTTGATATGAAACAAAAGAGCAAAGAGCCCGATGTCTTAAGTGTGCCTCACAAGACATCGTTGTTGTTGCCCTTTTTTCACTTAGTCACTGCCCCGCCTGGAGTAAGTTCGCTAGCGGTCACAACGCAAATCATCCAATCGTTTTCCAAACCCTCACAGTTCAGTATTGTTGTGGTTCAGTGAAGTTCAACTTTGAAGCTGACGACGCAGGAAATCCTCAAAAGAAGGCGGAGCCACGCACATCACCCGTGAAATAACCTGTACATTGTTCGCTACACTAAAACTCCTTATCTTGTCATTTTAGTTCGCTAAAGTAGGACAAATAAGTCAACTATTATCTTCTCTGATAAGTCACTGCACTAGATTCAAATCATCTTATCTGATCTAGAGGCTGATCCAGTGATAAGGAGTCGATTCCAAAAGAATCGATTATTTGACTCCGATAATTCTGGGAGTCGGGGGCGACTCTTGGCTAGTGACTCTGAGAGTCCAAATGCTTGGAGTCAACTCTTTGATACGGTCGACTCCGTGTTTTCATTGTAACGGGCTCAAAGGACATTTTGACGGGGGAATGTGTGGTACAGGAAAGCGGTGATGTTTGAGTGTTTAATTTCCCGCTTTAAACATCGCCGCTCACCTGCAGCGGTTGAAACTGTGTTCGGTGCGTCCTGCTCGGCTACTCTTCCTCTTCTACACGATTAGGGCTACTATAAACAATCGGAATCGGTACACGAAATTAAAACGAAAACCAACATTTTCACAGTGTTGTGGAGAAGATGAGATTTGCTCATATTTGTCAGCTTCTTATTTTAAATTTCCGTTACACCTTAAACGGCGCTGGAGTTTGATTATGACGCCAGGTGTTCTAGCAATTTGTCCCACTCACCCAGCTGTTTTTAATGTTAATTCAGTACATACTCAGCCTATTACTTATCCCCTGATAAAGAGATTTAGGCTATCAAAATATCCTAATTATTCTTTTAAGGCTGGTATCATTTTCTAATAAGGTGATTTAAACTATCAAAGTGTCCCACATGAAATTTTAATGCATGGTTGCATTTTGTGATAAGAAAATTTAGGTGATCAAAAAAAAAAAAATATGACAATAAAACGCTTGACACACAAAGTTACTACACTACGATGTGCGCATGCTCGGACAAATGGAACACTGTTAGAATTGTTAGAAAAGTAGAATTCAAAAAAATACGAAAAAGCCGGCGAACACGAAGCCAGTTTCAGCCTCGTGAAAAGAGAACAAGATAACTACCCCTTTATTTTCTTGGTTAAAACGTCTCTGGTTAAAATTATGTGGAGTCGAGGAGTCGATTCCACAGGCAGGAGTCGAGAGTGGGAGTCGGCTCCAAAAAAAATCCCGAGTCGTGCTTCACTCGTCTGTTCCACAGAGAAGTCCACTAGACTAATAGAATCTTTTTTTTCTGTGACGTAGGCGTCCAATCAGAATCAACAGTGGGGTTGTTCTTGACGTCTGATAGGTTGTGTGGCGCGTTCCAAACAAATACACGGTGCAGATCTCGCCAGTGGACCTTTCCTCTCCTCTCCCTGCTCTACAAACACTGAACTTGATGCCGCCGCTGCTGTTAAAACGTGCGGTCTTCATTTTCGCTGAATCACTACAAAGTCGGTCCACTGGTAAGGCCAGAGTTCATCCACTGGCGTGTTGATGATTTGAAAGGGCTTACAAGAGCGGAATGCATGGAAACAAAGTTGGTCCTCTGCGCCATAACTGTAGCCCTCTCTCTTACAGTAACCCTTCTGTACGATAAAGGTAAATGCACAGAATTCAACACAGGTTCTTACACTGGTAGCTCGGGCTGTGTGGAGTTTAACATTCGGCCTTGTTTTGCTCAGAGTTGCACTTCTGTTAAGCCTGTGTTTTGAAGCTAGCTGTCTGTCTGTAACCTAAAGGATTGCAGGTGACCCATGATGGAACACTGGTTGTATGTCAAACTTCGCCATCAATGAAGTAATTATTAAAAATAACTATACAACACAAACTTGACGTCGTCGTGTTTGTTTACGGCTTTATATCCTGATTTATATACCACGAGAGTGCTCTGACACCCGTCTCTGTGACGTAGTACACACAATGTGTAGCACGTATGTGTTGTTGCTACGGAGCGCCGCTGAGAGGAAGTTTTTAAGCAGCTTTGCAGAAACCAGTTTAGATAATCTGCTCTGTAATGCAGCACAGACGCCTTTGTTAGCCTTTCTGAATGCATGTACATTTAATTCTGCTCTGATCACGAGAAGATAATTGATCCACATTAGGCTCGGTTTTCCAGCAGTCGCCACTAAGTGATATGGCGTGCACGAAGAAAGGTAGCCAATTAGCTAACTAACGTTAGCTAGGTTCTAGCTAGCGAGTCAGTTTGAATGCTAAACCAGCTAGCTTAACGTTGAATGAGTGTGGTTCGCGTCTAAATTCTGTGTCACATCGTCGTTTGTTGGTTGCTGTGACGGCGTAACATCATGTTAGTGAATCCAACGCGAGGTTTTCACTGGTCAGACGCGGAGACGAGAGCACTGCTGAACATTTGGGGGGAACATGACGTCCAAACAGCGCTCGACGGAAACTTTCGAAACAGTCACGTTTACCGCGACGTAGCGGGTCGTTTGGGAGATATGGGCTACGATCGGACCCCGGACCAGTGCAGAGTGCGGGTGAAGAGCCTAAAAAGACAGTATTTTCAAGCGAAGAAAGCATCGAAGAAAAACAGCCAGTGTCACAAGATCTTTAAATTCTACGAGGAAATGGAGAGGATACTGAGCAGCAGATCATCGGCCACGTTAGATTCCCAGGACATAGACAGTGTCGCCGTTGAAGGCGATGAGACGATGGATGGCACCGAGGAAGATGGTGAGAGCATAGACCAGCCCCAGGACTCTGACATGGAAGGCACTGGAGAATGTTCCAATGTTGAATACCCTGTGAAGATCGAGTATCCATCCTACCCCATCCCGGTGACAGTTGGTAGCAGCAGCAGTAAGTACTTCTTCGAATTTTAGCTTGTCTTATTCTGCTAAGCCTGCAGGCTGTTCCAGGTCTACATTCATAGACGCAGCATGCACGGTGGCACAGCCACTCCGTATATTCACTCTGTTTTGTCTGTCCTTTTACACATGCACAGATATGCCAGCAAAACAGAGCAGCTTGCAGCCCAACAGCATGCCGTCCTCTTCAGCAAGCAGAGCGAAACGTTTCAAAAAGCGCTTCACAAACCTGTCCCTGGAAAAACTGATGGAGAAGTTTCTGGAGCAGAGTTTGGAGGCAGAAGAGAATTTCTATAGACTCGAGGAGCAGCGACTTCAAGCGGAGGACCTCCGTAGGGAGACGGAACACACTAGAGAGTTGCATATGCTGCAGATGCTTGGCCAGATGTTTGCTGGTCTTTCCAGACCTGTGGCTACACAATCACCTGCTACCCAGCCCACCCGTAACTCTCATACTGGTGCCCCTATACCTCCTACACGCCTGTTCTTTGGCAACCATAGCAATCAAGCTTCCGAGGCTGAGTATTCTAACAACAGTCAGCAAGCTGCTCCAGGTCTGCCCAAGATTGAAGATGGTGTTCAGTACTGACCTAGAATAATGCTAACTGAATATAGTGGTTTCACTTAGGGCCAAATTTGATCCTAGGTTACATTGGTTCTTTTAGACAGGTGACACCAGGCTAGTACACATTGTACATGTGTTTTTATGGCCCCAGTATGGCTGGGGCCTAGAGATGTAGAGAACGCCTGTTCAAAAAAAATTAGCATCTTATTTAACTTTGTTAAGCATTCAACGACAAACTTTGTTTTTTTTTTCCCCAAAGTGTTTTACAGATCAGTAAAAGTACCAAATTGAGCATTTCTTGGTTATCAGTTGAACCCACCATAATTACTCACAATATATACCATAAATGTATTTGTTTTTTTGGCTCAATGATGAAGAGACTGATCTTACCGTGTTCCTATTTTCAGTCATAGAGCGGTCATTCTCCCTGGGAAGGGCAGCACACAGAAGCATGGACAGTGTCCTCCCTTTGATTAAAAATACCATTCCTCCACTAACATCCAAAAAGCACAAGGGTCAAGATGGCCGTATTGGAGTCGTTGGAGGATGTCAGGAGTAAGTGATCGTTAGAGCTACAAACCACAATCATGTGCCAGCTCTTTCAGTTTTATTCAGTCATTCTCTGTTTTGTTAGGTACACTGGCGCTCCATACTTTGCTGCCATTTCTGCATTAAAAGTCGTAAGTGGCCATTTATGTGAATTTAGAGATTTAAATGAAAGAAGTGTAAGCATTTACCCTGTATGGGATCTTGTGTGCTTCCCAAAGTCCTCCAATATTCTTTCTCTTTCTCAGGGTGCAGATCTGTCTCATGTTTTCTGCACCAAAGATGCTGCCACTGTGATCAAATCATATAGTCCTGAGCTCATAGTTCATCCTGTGCTGTGAGTGAATTAATCTCATCATTAAGCTGATATGTTTGTTCAGTAGTGATTAGAGAGGCAAATGGTTTGTATGTTCTTGTAAATAGTAAGAGTTTCTCTATCATTTTGGAACCTTCAGAGACAGTCCCAATGCTGTGGAGGAGATTGAGAAATGGCTGCCGAGACTACATAGTCTGGTGGTGGGTCCTGGCTTAGGGAGGGAAGATGGGATCCTCAAGACTGCTAAGGTAAGGGAAAACTTACTCACAGGTAATTGTGTTTGATTGCTTACATATATGTTCATGCAGCTTGTTGTACATAATCTCCTTGTGACTTTGTTATAGGAGGTTATTGAAAAGTCTAAATCCAAAGGAATTCCAATTATCATTGATGCAGTAAGTAACAAGTTCTTCTGTTAAAATGGTAGGTATTAAAGATGAATGAAGATCTGTAATGTATGTGTGTGTGTGTGTGTGTGTGTGTGTGTGTGTGTGTGTGTGTTTGTGTTTGTGTTTGTCTACAGGATGGGCTTTGGCTAATTGCTAAGGAGCCATCAATCATCCAGTTTTATCAAAGAGGCATTTTAACGCCCAACTTCATGGAGTTCAGTCGTCTCTACGAGGCTATGGTAAGGAATGTATTCAGTTATTATTGTTTTAGTTCATTATGACTGTAGTGCTGTAGAGTAGTATGATTGTTCTAGAGAAACGTACCAGAGTCAAGAGTTGTTTACAGTGGCAGAAATAGGAACCAGAGAGCAGAAAAGTTTTAATACTCCTAAAAGCTTTAAAAAAAGTTTGAAAAACTAATTTGTATAATTTTTAATATGCAAAAATGTTCATGTGCCTAATGTTATACATTCTCATAAGAACCATGAGATGTTGGAACTCTATACTCCATCGTAGGAAATGAGGAGCCTGCATCTTATGTTTTGGTCATAGGTTCTTACATCTTTAATCCAAAGAAAGAAACTTAGAAAGACCTACTAAACCTGGAAAAAAGCTGCCGCACGCCAGACAAGAAACTACATACGGAGCCACCTATTATTTACTATAATCAGCATTACATATGAAAACTCAAAAGACACATGTAGGTTACCTATCGTAGTAAATAAAATGGCTATATTTGCATTGTATACATTGTGATCCCTGGTTCCTGTGACCGCCACAGTTTCTCTACAGTGCACTGTTTCACATCAAACCACTCTAAATGACTTTTACATATCAACAATTGAATTGTGGAGAAATTTTGAAAAATCTTTGAAATTCTCCTTCAAGCAGTTTGCTATTCTGTAGACCTTCTAACACCTTTTATAGACTGCTGGATTGTGTTGCATCTTTTTGATTTCAGCACCGTGAGCCTCTGGACAGCACAGACCTCAAGGGGAGTGCCCAGCAGCTGAGCATTGCAATGGGCAATGTGACCCTGGTTTTGAAGGGCGAGGAGGATATCATCACTGATGGAAACAGGGGTAAGTCAGCTTAAACATACATTTGGCTGCGTTCTGTGTACTACTTTAAACGACATTGTAGCTTTATTTTGTTGTTTCCTTGCACTGTTTTTCCAGTGATAACATGTAGTCAGCAGGGGAGTGGACGTCGGTGTGGGGGCCAGGGAGACCTGCTCTCTGGAGCTCTAGGTGTCTTTGCCCATTGGGCATTCAGCTCATTCCCAGATGCAACCAAAGGGTAAGATGTCCAGTTTGGTCACCTCTTCCACACAGCCGAATTAGTCTTCAATATTGCTTGAATACTGTGGTGTTTTCCACTTGAATATGAGTAGCGTTTTTCCATAAATATTCTGTTTCTCGTTTGCCAGTATGAATCCAACACTGGTGGCTGCATTTGCCGCTACCTCACTGACTAGGCAGTGTAACAGGCAAGCCTTCGACAAACATGGTCGAGCCACCACCACCTCCGACATGATCCAGGAGATCTGCACTGCCTTCAGAAAGCTGTTTGAAAGCTGAACTAAACACAAACTCTGTTCCACGGGCACTCATTGTTGTTTCAGCCATGTGCAACGTCATCTGTTTTCACTAGCTCGCCTTCTTAACAAAGACAGGAAGCAGGGAAATCAGATGTGGTCTACACTGCTCATCTACACACTCATTCACACACAATTCACATACACCATGGTCCTTCTGCTTAGTCTCAATAAGCATGCCTTGTTTTTTTTGTGTCCACCATCCACCATTTCTGGCTCTGTCTGAATGTTTTCCATCACATTTTTTTTTTATTTTTGAGTTCTATATCCTTTTGTTGTAGCATAGCAACATGATCCCTGAAATTGATCTAGAGTAGCCTTTCCCAGTTGAATGTTTTTTGTAATCCATTGCTCAGAAATGGATGCTGATCGCAGACAGACAGGACAAGACATTCAATATTGCATTGTCTAATTTGAGCCACAGATATATAAAAAAAAATGTTAAAAAAAAAAAAACAACTCCCAGTTGTTGATGATGATGATGATGATGATGATGATGTAGCTGGACTGTTTTACCCCTAAAATCTGCTACTCTTCAGCTATACAACTATCCACCCTAACCTACTACAAATAGAGGTCATGGTATTGCAGAATAAAACATGAAGACAATAATGCAATTCATAGTGAACAACTAAGAGACTGAAATAAGCTGTATATGAATTATAATTATTAGTGTGCACACCAGCACCTCTCTTTGCTGGTATTGTTTTTTGCAATTAGCAGGACTTTTATTTCAAAGTGCCTCTTGTAGGTTTTGAATCCTATGTCAATCACCAGCCCTTTCTTTCTTAACAGTATTGTAGGTTAACATACACAACAGTGGTTTTGTATGAATTTAGTCCTATAACAAATCTCTTCTATTGCTAGTGGAACCCTTCCTGTTAGAGTCCCATATAATTATGATTTATTGACTGTGGTGCTCTTTGATATCTACATATTTTATTAGATAATGTAGTTTATATAAATACACCCACACATTAAGTTCTTTGCTGCGAACAATATGCTTAAGAAGAGTGGTCACTATTCCTTATTAGGGCTGAAACTATATGCAAAGGTCATGTCTAGTCTCATATACCCTTGTGGCTCTAGAAATGTATCTCGTGCTCTGAATATTAAAACATTCTTGGACGTGTTGAATTTTTTTTTGTTTTGTTTTTATTTAGAGCACTCTTGTATTCTTGTCCATTCATGCCATGTTGTTTGTATATCAAGTACTTAAAAGGAAAAACCTGAAACCAACTCTGTTTGGACTCTCCATACCGAGTGACATTCCCTTTTTAATCCTTTTTTTTTTGTTTTTTTTTTTACTTTTTGTGTCCCCTTAAAAATCAAGAAACATAATTAGTTTATTAGGTATGTATATAATTTGAGTGACAGGTGACATTATCCTTATGTATTAACTTCTTTATATATTTTGTTTATATCCTTACATTTGTTACAGGAAGCTATAATAAAGATAGATTCCCTTGCACGTGCTTGTGACTGTGTGGCTGAGGAGTAAGACAAGCTATTTTTAGTGATGAAACTATTGGATGTGTTCATCAGTCATAATTCCTGTGATCATATTTCATAGAGGGAAAGTATCTCAGGTAAACAGTTATTTGAAGATCAGCAAGTGGGCAGAACTGTATGAAATATGCAACAAATACTGTGAAAAGTCCCTACATCTCTGGAAGAACAGGGGCATTTTGAAACCAAAAAATAAAAGTACATGAAACTCAAAGCTCTTACAGACACAGGTTCCCCAGTGTAATTTAGTCCATAGGTCTGACTGTCCTAAAACAATAAACAGGGTCATTTTAACAGAACAACATTCTGTTTTTAACCTAGTTTTGCCAGATTTTCTTTTCAAGAAAGAATGTATCTAAAATCTGTCTTAAGATCTTATGAGGCCGCGTATTTCTAACACTAGTTTGACAGCCCTAGCACAGGAAACCATGTGATCTTGTTTCAACGCGTCATTTTAGTATCAGTTTCTGATCTATTTTAATTATAAAGTCGTTTGCATTTTAAAGCCAAACGCATTTCCTTTACACATATGTCGTGCCTTCTTTGTTGTATTTAAGTACTAAATGTTTGACCTTCAGTGAAGAAGAATTAATGTTTTTGTTAGAATTAAATTACACGTACTTGCTTGTAAAAGTATCAAAACTAAAAATACTGTGCGTTATCATAGTATAATATAACTATAGTTTAAGTCTTCTTAATAGAAAAGTCAGGATCACACAGTATCTCTAACAACTGTACTTTTAGATACTTTTTACTGTAAATAATTACGTGTTTTTGGGTGGTTGTATATATTTGTCGTTTGGTTTAGTCTGTTCTTGCTCGCCATGCCCGAAGCTGTTTTGCTGAGGACTTTTATTTTGACAAACAGCAAAAGGCTGAAAATCCCGTTTGGGTCTCTGCCTGAGGTGGCTAACGTTAGTCCTACCGCAGATGGTGTAGAAAGACGTGGAAACTTAGAAACTGCTGTACAACATATGATAGAAAACTGTCATTATAATGAATGGAACAGCTTACTCAAACTTTGACAATCAAGAACATGTTCTCAAATTAGGCGAAACTTTTGAGAAGCAGCCTAAAAGTGCCTTCCATACGGTACGATGTAAGTGGTATCTTCTTATTTCGGCATTTTTATGAAGATAATTAAATGTCTGTCACTGTCTTCAGTGACTATATCCGTCAAGCCAGATACTGTTAGTTGTTTTCCTGCTCATTACAAAAAGTTATCCGTGTAGTTTTCATGAAGCAAAATGTACAGGCAGTTGAAAAGGCAGCTAAGGGGTGTCATGAGTAGCCCAACGTTAAGTGGTCACTGAGTTGTCTAGTTAACTGGCATGTCGAATATCAGAGTCTTAATTTGAGCGTCTAGATGTGTGGACTAGTAATAATTATTACTATTAACGTTACTTTTTGTTATAGTTACGATGGTGTCGGGGTTTAAAAGAAATCTGCTTTCTTCCTACATGCGTCCAAAGCTGAAAGCTGTTGGTAGAAGATGAATTCTCGAGGGCATTTAGATCCACTTCGTGGTGAAATGCCCTCTGCTGGTGTTGCGTTAAACTGCTGTTAAGAAAGAAAGGCGTCCACTCGAGGCCGTGCGTTACTGCGATTTTTCACGAGGTGTTCTTAGGCACACGATTCAATGTGGTGGCCAACATATACAATGTGATAGAACCAGAGACGTTGTAGAGATGAGAATTCCCACTCTGCAAGGTCTTCCAGTTTTCTCAAACGCTAGAGGGCGCTCCCGAGTGAGTCCAAAATGAATGGGTTGACATGGAGCATTTGAGCAAAATCATACTTTATAAATGCTTAATTTTTAATGTAAAAGAATATTCATTTCCTGAACACTGAATAGCATAAAACATTTTAACACCGCTGTTATATTTTTAAGAGCTTGTAAACTCGAGTTATAGGAGCTTAAAACGGCACCTCATGTATGTTCCTGACGTCAGTGAGCGCGAACAGCCAATGAGCTGCTCCGCTCGCCAATCAATCATCACGCTCTAGCAGTAATGCCCGCCTCCTGCTGCCCAAAACCCGTTTACTGTAGAAAAAAGGAAATATATAGGTAAGATTTCTTTGCTTTGTTTTTTTTTAGTGAAATATATCCTTCTACTTTCTAAAGAAACGTTCTGGGCGAGAGATTAGAAACTATTTTAACTTTTAGTTTTTAGCCGTTGAGCCCCATTTACTCCCATTCATTGAGGACTCGCTCGCGGGCATACATACTATTTAACATACTACATAACATACTATTTAGGGAGTACTGATCCCTTTGAGATTCACACTGGGGTTGATGCTAATGTTACTTAAAGCCGATCTGAATAAAACACGGGTATTTGAAGCATGTAAGCCATGCAAGTGACATTCTTTAGAGTTATATTACCCTTTTACAGTAAAGAATATTGTAAGTACTTTAAATGAAGTATGTGATATTAATGATGCAGTTGTTTAGCCTGTTAGCTATCTTTTAGCCATTAGCTAGGTGACCAGCCTAGTTCTAGATAAGAAAATAAGTCATCAGCCCTCAGTTTAACAAAAACATGTTCTTACTTCGTCGGTGGGTCCATACGACTAAAAACTATTACATTAGCTCACAGCACACAGGGTGTTTCTGAATACAGAGAACTCGAAGAACACACTTGTGTTTTTGGGAAAACTCTTCTTGACAGGTTACTTTGCAAGAACGCAAGGACGGAGAACGCATGAACAGGAGTTTGACGTGCTGTGTACTTGCTATTGCGCAGTATCCCAGTCTGAGCCCAGTGGATTTTACCAGCATCAAGCTGCCATTTAGCAGCTTATAAATTCAGAATATTATGCATGGAATAAAAAATTAGATTTTGAGATTTGGGACAAGTTTGTTCTCTTAAGTGACAACGCATGGCTTTTCCCAGTGCATTTGAAAGAGGGGCTCAGTTTACTGGTATGAATTACAGTTAAACTGAACTGGTATAAATTAAATTCCACAAGTAAAAATTACATTGTGACATGTTTATATTTTGATTATTAAATGTTTGAATTGATTTCTTGTGAATGAAACTTGAATTGTTAAATGTAAAGACTCTCTTATGTGTAAAATTTCTGTTTTAACATGTAAGAAGTAGGATTAAAAGCTAAAACGACTTGCCATATGGTGTGATTACTAATATTTTCATGTAACTAACAAAACTGTCTAAATTTCACTGTGTGCATTTGTGTGAGCAGATGACTTCAAGCCTGCCTCTATAGACACTACATGTGAGGGAGAGCTAGAGGTGGGCAAGGGAGAACAAGTTACTATAACATTGCCTAACTTGGAGGTAGGACAGCTGCACCCCTCGTGTGATTCTGTAATTCAGGAGAATATAGAATGATATTGTGTTAATATTACTGTGCTAATATTAACATTTTCCTTGTCCCCCCTTCACATGTCACAGGGATCCACGGCTCCAGTTACAGTGTTCAAAGGATCCAAAAGGCCTTATATGAAGGAGTGCATTCTTATTGTAAATCATGACACAGGAGAGTATCGTCTGGAGAAGCTTAGTAGCAACATTGCAGTCAAAAAGACAAGGTTTGTGTTCCTCACAGTGACATCTTTTCCAGCAGTAATGAAATGTTAGTTCTCTCAGCAGAAGCTCTGAAGCCTAAATGGATGTTTCTGTCTCCCTTTGGCTACACAAAGGGCGGAGGGCAGCAGTAAGATCCAGTCACGTCTGGAGCAGCAGACTAACAGGCTCAGTCAGCAAATGAAGAGTGGCAGTGGAGGAAAGGCTCCAGCCAACTCCAAGAGTTCCCCTCCGAAAGAGAAGATGTCTCCAGCATCCCCGATGGATGACATTGAGAGGGGTAACATATCATATAAAATCAAATGAGTGTGATTCTCTACAGAGATGTTCTGCAGCCTCTCTGTAGTATTTAAAGGGCTCATATCTTACATTTTCTTGTAGGTCAACATTTTTGAGGGTTTATGTATTAAAAACAGTTTTGTGTATTGTGCCTCATTCAAAAAGCTGTCTGGGCTGACGGACTCCATATAATTATAACAAGAATGAACAGGCTAAACTGCAGCAGGCAGAATAAATGTTTTGGCTTTTGTGATGTCACAAAAACAATAAATTCAAGTGGGCTGTTGTTACTTAATTTCCCTATATGGGCTGTATGGACCTCCGAGTGAATGGTATGTTAACAGTGCTTACATATAACATCAACCTCTCTTATTTCCAAAACGAGGAAAAATTTGGTTTTCCTTGATAATTGGCCCTTTCAGCTAAGGCAGACCACAAGCTTAAATGAAACAAAGACTGACAAAGGCACCATTTGAAAAGCAGCAGGCACCAGCTTGTGCTTGGAACCCCCTTCCAGTAGCGTGTTCTGACGTTTGCATATGTTTTCTAGAGCTGATGGCTGAGGCGCGAGTAATGGATCAGATGAGCAGTGGCGACAGTTCTTCAGACTCTCACAGTTCCTCATCGTCCAGCAGCGAAGACAGCTCGAGCAGTAGCGACTCTGAGGATGAAACCCGGCCTTCGTCAGGCGACCCCCAAACTAGGCCTGCCCCCACCCGCAGCATGCCCATCCTCACGTCTCAGGAGCACATGGAGGAGGAGGGTGGACACCTCATGAACACGCTCAGTGAGTTTTTCCAGTTTGGACACTTAGTTTTAATGATCAGTAGGTCAGTAGTGTGACATTTTGCTTAAAGGGCCCATAGCCTACGGTTTTCTTGTAATTTTGTGTATTTTTTTTTTTGTGTATTTTTGTGTCATCCCGCTCCCATAAGATTTCAGCTCACTCCTGCAGAAAACCTGCATCGTTTTGTCCCACTCCCGCCCACAGTTGCGTATAGCTGGGTTCCATCTGCATTAGTCACAATTGAAAATTACTGCCATAGGTTAGACTTGTGTTAAGTCGACTTTATTGTTGTGTATTCACCTCCTGCGCGAATGAAGAAGTAAAAATGGTTATATTTCATTTTTACGTGACCATTTTTAAACCTTTCTTTATCCCTTAGCATTAAACATAATGTTTTTGTTTCGCTGCATTTAAGACTGATGTAATTAAATGAGCTCAGTTCTGATTAGCTGTCCTGTACTATGCCTCATTCAGAAAGCACTTAGAGCTGAAACACTTCTCAGAACTATATGAATATGAATGGGTGGGGTAAAAGTGATGTAGTCTGAATAGGTGAATATATGTAAATGAGTTAGTTCTCATGAATCACAGAAACAATGAATTCAAAGTGGGCTGTTTCTGCAATATAGTTTGCTGTTGGTAGACTGTATGGACTGCTTAATGAATAGTAGATTTTGAAACCTTAGCATTGTTTACATATTACTTCAAACACCTTTATTTCAGTAAAGCGAAGGACATTTTTTCCGTGATATGGACATCCTTAACCTTTAGCCTTTTAACATGCTGCTGTTTTCTTTATTCTGATGCAGAAAGTGATCTTCAGCTGAGTGAATCTGGCAGCGAGAGTGACGATGACTGAGCACAGTGAGTCTATGAACACGCATGGTCATCACCGAAACTGAAGGATAGAAGAGGACAGTGTTGCCAGGAATAACTCTTTGTGATATTGGAATTTTAATCACCATCAACTTTCACTTATTAAATGTTTTCTTTCCTCCAGTTTTTCAAACAGCAAACGTTTCTGTCAAAACCTGGTATATGGTGTGGATGACAGGAGAAAAGCTGTGAGATTTCTATATGTTTGAAAAATGAATTATTTATTTTGTTAAATGCTACTGTGTAGATCCTAGTTATATAGGGCTCTCTTAAAACACAGTAGTTTTCACTGAGCATGCTCAGGAAGGTATGCATTAGACTATTGAGGAGTTATTTTCATGTGACAATCTGTGTCCTGTTCTTTTTGTTTGAGGCTGATTGTTTTAGCTTCAAATGACTAAGCAACATATCACACGTGGTCTTAAGGCACATCAGTGCGTTACTTGAAAACTATATGATGTTACATCAAAATCTTGATCTCAAGTGCAGCAACCAAATGTATCTGCAAGTTTTGCCAGCTTAAACCTCCAATACTTGAACGTGTCTGTCTTAATAATAAATTATTCAGAGAAAGTTGTTTTTGGCATGTCTAGTGTGTTGACCTGTCCATACAAGGTGCTTTGGATTACACAGAAGTAACCAATATAGAGTAATTCATATTTATAGATCAGAATGAATGTGTTCTCCTGGTATTAATTATGCTCATCTTCGTCCTGCTTATCAGTTTATGTTTTGCTAATATTCACTTACATGCAGACTGCAAGGATGTCTGAAAGGAATCCTACATTAGCACAATTAGAAAGGAAAGAGACTATAATTTATTAGAGCCTGGGTGATGTAATAGGATAAATGTTAACATTTAAACATGCTTGAACATTAAAGTTGTATGTAGAGCAATACAATTTTGTGGTGTAATCATTTTCTTTCCTACTTTCATGAATACATTGTGTTACTGCCTGAAAATAAACAGGAAAAAAAAAACAATATCTAGTGGATGCAAAGATCTTTTAGATAGAATTTTGTAAAATTTCTACATAATTCAATAATTAAGATGTATACAAAGTCAGAGTGTTTTGATGTGAAGTAACCAAAGTCATTCAGAATAGTTTGATGTCAAATTCTAGAGAATTCAACAGAAACTATCTCTGATATCTTTACAGTGTTAATGATGGGAACCGGGGGTTACAATGTCTACAACACAAATACAGTCCTTTATTCAAAATGATCAGCGAACTTACATGTGAGTTGTAATGTTAATAGAGGTAAATCTGGAAAAAGATCTTAAGGGGCCTGTTTGGCTTACAACTGTACTGCTTACAGCATGTACTGCTTCACTATTAATTAGATTTTTAAAAATTTGTTTTTGGCCAAAACCTTATCTTAAAAATAACATTTTAAGTATCAATCAGTTTTATATATATATATTTCATGTAATTACTTGTGAGGGATATGCAAGCTATACATCATATAGTAATCTGTGGGGGAGCTTTTACAGGAATTAAACTTGTCAGACGTCTGGTTCCTATCACCACCACTATGAACAATTTTAACTCTGTAAGTTTCTCTCGAACGGAACATTAAACACCAAAACGCCCCGAATGACTTTGTTTCCATTTTAACGATTGAATTATGCGGAATTTTGAAAAATCGCTGAAATTCCCCTTTAATTCTCTGATTTTTGAGATTTTTTATGATTGTTTTAGGGTTTCTGGCATGTATTCATGGCGGAGAATTACATGCTTTATAAGGAAAAATATTCACCAAATAAAACTTTTTCATTGTTTAACATGACATATAACTCAGAAGGTAGTTGTAGGTTCACTGGTGGTTTTGGTGAGTAAATAAAATGGCTGTATTTCCCGTGCAGCCGTTGTGACTCCTGGTTCCTCAGCACCACTGTATAGAAGGCTGAGCCTCTACAATGAACCACATCACATCAAACCACCCTGAGTAAATACTCCACCACTGCGTTATACACGGACTCCCCTTTACATGCACTGGAGTGTGATGATGGCGGATGCCGGCTGCTGAGATGTGTATATATGCGTCTGTGAGCTCGTGTGCAGCACCTTTGGACTTCATTTGCTGCATGAGCAGGTCGAGCAGCTCCTCTCCCCGCAGGTCACTCGAGTTCAGCTGCTGCTATAAACAGGAGGCCATTACGGGGCGGACGGAGCAGCAGTGAGGAGAAGAGCTCAGAAGCTGCTCGGACTGGACCGGAGAGCCTCGGACATGTTCTACAGGTCGCTCTTGAGGACTGGACTGCTCGTATGGAGGCAGGAACAGCGGACTGTGCTGAAATGCGCCCCGTCGGCTTTGGCGAGTGTGCGCGAGCGGCGCCACAGCACCTCCAACACAGTGATGACCGGGAATAAACTAAAGAGCATGGAGGACCTGGGCGGACCCAGCTTTTTAACATCGCTGTACTGGCTCTTTGGGAAAGGCTACTTCCAGATAACTCACCAAATGCAGGTAACACGCTTAATCGTGCTTGAAAAGTCCCTGCTGTGTTACGGGTTCACTGGATGAATGAGACCACGGTAAAGCAGGGTACCAATTGTGTCCTTTTCGGTTCGGTACTACTAAGACTAACATCTCGATACCGATACCGATTCTGACACCTGTACATGTTTTTTGCCCACAGTGAATGTGGGCATAAAATCTGGACCTTTGCATTGGTATTAAATTATTTGCCTTATAAACTGTGCAGTAGGGGGGTCCGAGATATCAAGCATATATGCCCACTACGGTCAGCACCCTGCTGTCTGCCATTGCTGGTCCACCCTCAGACCACCCAGATTATTTTCCTGCATACAATGTCTAACTAGTTTTTAATCTACTCAAACAGATTTTAAATATGCACAGCCTTTTATTTTGGAAAATAAACTAAGACAATTATTACAAACAATTGAGACAAAAGTAATTTATGACTAGGCCTAATATAAAATGATCTTGTTGAAAATGTTGCTTGCACTGCTAGATTGGTTGGTTTAACTGTATAACTGGCTTTTTATGATATCACTGTTACAATTATTTACTTAACTAATTTACAAAGGATAACAAAAGAAAGAAATGAAGGGAAAATAATTACACTGTAAGTGGGAGAAGTGGCACTCTGCTTAACCACCAGCCGCCTGCTTTGCCATCAGTGAGCCAACAATGGCCCGTTGTACCTTCTTGCTGTCTAGGGGTGAAACAGGGAGAAGGAACAGTAGTTCTCAGCCCACTTTTATCAGTGCACCCAGATTTCTGTCTGCTACTCTCTCCTTTCAAAAGGAAAAAGTTTCTTCACCATGAAAAAATTATGAGTGATGTTTTGAGTCTCATTCGTTTTGATCACCTGCCCTATAGTTTTCTACTGTTTCCACCCCAGTGCCTGATGTGTCTGTTATTTTCATTCTATGAAGATTGAGCACAACAAAATTTATGGGCCACTGTGGAGGTCCAAATATGGACCACTGGTGATTGTGAATGTGGCCAGTGCGGAGCTGATAGAGCAGGTCCTGAGGCAGGAGGGTCGACACCCCATTCGCACCGACATGCCCCACTGGAGGACCTACCGGGAGCTCCGCAAGCAGGCCTATGGCCCTCTCACAGAGTGAGCATTCTCCATCCATTTCCATACTGACAGCAAAATATCAGTGCTTAGTTCTTCTTTCCACTGTTGTAATCTGTAGTAACCTGTTGTAATCATAGACGTAGTCCCAGCTATGACTGCTGCTAGGAAGGGGTGAATGTCATGATCAGTTTCCTGCTGTTTGGTAATGTATTTCACAATTCTTTGGAAACTAAGTCTCACCTACATTTCCATTTCATTCAGTCATCTCTGAGTAATATGTAATATTTCAGTACATACTTCTAGAGCAGTTATCAGTCTGTCATTACAGAATGTGTCCATACAGAGTACAGAGTCATACCTTGTGATGTGATGAAACAACCACCTAAAACAGTGCCAAAGCTTTTTTTTTTCTTTTTTAGAAATGTCTGTGTCCAGGATTCAGCAAAAGTAAACAAGTTGATGTAATGTGATTTTCGTTCACTCCTGTTGACCTTGACCTGCATGGCTGTCCATCTGATTTAAAATGGCACAGAAAATGTGTAATAAAATATCACTCAAATATGTCTCAAGCACAGTTTGATAATGGCTGTGGACCATCTTTATGTCTGTTCCCATAGGCCATGGGTTACAGAGTAGATTCAGTACAGATATTACATAACATTTAGGCAGTAAAAAGCAGGGTTCAAGTTGTGGCAGAGGTAGAAGGTCTGACTATGATGTGACCTATATAGATATATATTTATGGTATTACTAGTCAGGAGTCATTTAACTTCATATATGTATGAATACAAACGTCTTCATATATGTATGAATGCAATACAAATATCTTAAACCCTTTTTATTTATTCAGTTTTGTTGCATCTCATAAGAAGCAAAACCAAATTATGATTCAGGTTGCCAGACTGGTTCAGTTTCTGGCCATGTATTGGTTGCCCAACCAGCAAACATGTCCCCTACAACCCCATTCAATTCAAACCCAGGTATATAGTTAACATAAGTACTGTTCTTTATTGACCTGTAGAATAGGAGCAGAATGGCAGCGCATCAGAAGCATCCTCAACCCTCGCATGTTGAAGCCCAAACATGTGTCTTCCTACACTAACGCCATCAACGAGGTGGTGACTGACTTCATAGAGAAGGTGGATTGGCTTAGGACAACAAAAGGCAATGGCGTTATGGTGCATGACGTAGCAGGGGAACTCTACAAGTTTGCTTTCGAAGGTAAAACAGCATTAAAACCCATTTGTGTTCAAATTTTCCCTGTGAATATACGTTCATTATTGTCTTACAACTGACCAATTTAAACAGGTTCAACATTAACTAGTGTTCACGAGTTTGGAATCACAATTCAAAAGTCGATGATCAATGTTATCAAAAAAAAAGAGGCTACTCCTCTACAACTTCACAGATTTCAACTAATTAGAAGGTAGCAGTAGATCAGTGGTGTCCTGTCATATCTGCAGAGGGCCAGTGTGCCTGCAGGTTTTCATTCCAGCAAATCAGGAGCTCACCTGATCAGTTGTTAGAAGACTGTGACCAACTGATCAAACAAGAAGAATAAGGCGTGCTCCTGCGTGTTTGGAATGAAAACCTGCAGCCACACCAGCTCTCTGCGGATAAGATTGGACACCCCTGCTGTAAATGATTCCTTAATCCATAAGAAAGCTGTAAAACATTGGAACATTTAGGTTATAATAAAATGGCATCCAGGATGCCTTGCATTTAAGAAGTAGTAATGAAATCTTACGCAGATAACTTGTCAAGGAATTACTGCTTGTAAATAATTCCAGTACATTATTTATCAGTTAAGGACTTATTGCAGTTCCTAAGACAATTGCAATATTGAATCAAACATTCTGAAATACATTTTGGTGTCTGGATTAGAGTATTTCAGTCTACACTGTGCAAGTTATTACTGAATAAAATAAAATAGCAGTGATTTCAATTCCTTTTAAATGCTAGTATATGTTCCCCTAAAGCCACAAAACCCCTTTAAATAATTGTATTCTTTCAGCCGAGTCTTTAAAAAGCTGTATGACTCTTTTCTACACATTTAGAAAAGAGAAGGAGGGGTATAAACTGTCACTATATTAGTTGGCAATGGACTTAAATGCTTGCAGTATTATTAGGACTGGACGATTTCATCTGTGCTGTTATACCGTGATACTGCTTTTCAGTTTCAGTTTTGATTTGATTTTATTTGTTTTTCATTTCTTTATATTATTTTTTAACACTCGTTTTATCCAGGACCTGAGAGTTTACTGCAGGATACATTGAAAAGTGGTGTTTTGAATTTTGTGATTAAAATGTCAAGAGGTTGAACATTAATACAATGTATGACACAAACACAGTTGCTATCAGAACAAGTAAACTTACAGGGAGCGATTCTGTTGATGTAGTATATGTTATTTGTGTGCAACTACTAGACTAGTTTTTCAGTGTGTGTCATTTGCTCAGTGCTTCAGACTGTTTTTGAAAGTTCATAAATATCATATAAATAGTAGATTTTCTTTCTGGATATGGATGTGCTGTCTGCTTGATGTGCTGTCTGGTTGATGATTGCAGACGTGTGTTACGTTCCTTTTGGAGTAATTTCGAGAGAAGAATCCAGTCCAGTCAAAACAAGTTCCAGCAAGTTAGTAATGCATTCTTGCGCATGTAGAATAGCAGTACCTGACAGGCAGGAGTTCATTAACTTTGTTAATGGAAGCTCAAATATTGTCTGATACTGTGAATTATTTGAAAAATGTACTGAGATATTTTTTTATCAGTACCGCCTAACCCTAAAACATTATTAACAGGACTGTGCGTGAAACTACATCATATCAGCATTGTCAAGTAAAGGAAAGAGTTTAGCCCCAGGTATGACATTTTTATGGATAAATGATAACAGATTTGCTTGTGACCTAGATTGCCATGTTTACTATAGTATTTAGTATTTTATAGTATTTTAAGGTCATGTAAGCAATTTGAAAAGAGCAATCCATTTGTACTGATGACCATCTTTGGTGGTCTTTATCAGTCAAACAGTAAGTCTAGGTTGTAGTAAAACCATGGATTAGCACAGATTATGACGTGCGCAGAAGATCAAGGCATATATCGGAATTCAGAGGCCTTGGAGGTGCTTCAAACTGGCCTTGACTCTATTCCCATGAAGTTGATCATTGTAGCTGTGTAGATTAGATACAGTGTGTCTCACTGCACTTCTGATCTTTTGTATGCACACGTCAGACTTGGTGTGAGGGGAATGTATGGGAAGCAATTGCTATGTTAGGACAGACTTCTCCATTCCCTTCATGTCCGAAGTCTGACGTGTCTGTACAAAAGATCAGGTGTAGTGAGAGACGCTATATCTAATCTGCACAGTTACAGTGATCACATGAATAGAGTCAAGGTCAGCATCTTCAAGGCCTCTGAATGCTGATGTTTGGCTTGATCCTCGTCTTCTTCTTTGTGAAATCTTTTTTTGCTCTGTGGAACACGCTTTAGTTTTATGGTGTTATATTACATTGCAGTTTTACTTAGATTAGTATATCTCTGCTTTCAGGACAAAACCTCATATCTCCAAAAGGTAACTTTACAGGACAAGAAAAAACATTCTTAACTTTTAATGGAAGTAAATGGAGAAATATTTTTTGGATCATTTCTGGTGGTTTGTTCATCATAAAATTTTGACACAACATAAAGGGCAAGTACCTTTTTCAAATTATGTCAAAAAATGAAAACAACAAAAATGGAGATGCAAGGTTTTCTCCCAACAGCAGCGTTATGTAAAAAAAAAAACATTGTATGTCCAAAATAGTAACTTTACAGGAGAATGAAAAAACGTTCATTCGTAATGTAAGAATGTAAAATCTATGTAATTCTTTTTCTGTGTAACTCTGGGCTACCTCAAAGTGCTTTACAGACAGGTGATAATGTTTAACAATAATAGACAAGACACTGACTGATCAAGTTAAAAAGAAATACCAAAAACACTCAGAAGTTTAGTTGAATGCTAAGTTAAAGAGATACATTTTCAAATGTGTGCACTGAGCTTGACTGTCTAATAAAAAGTGGAATTGAGTTCCGAGGCCTCTTCATGTTTTCTGTATTTTACAGAAGGTATTTGTAGAGGGCCAGTATCTGCTGATCTAAGATCACATGTTGGAACATAAATAGACAGACACTCTGTGATGTGAGCGGATGCTTTAAGGTCATTTAGAGCCTTGAAAACTAGAAGCAGAATTTTAAAATCTATCCCAAACGATACAGGTAGCCAGTGGAGTTATTTTAAAACATGGGTGATATCAACTCTCTTTTTTGTTTTTGTTAGGATCTTTGCTGCTGCATTTTGTGTGAGTTGTAGAGGACGGATTGTTTTCTTAGGAAGATCACACACCCAGGTTTCGTACTTCAGGTTTGGTATATGAAGCTAAAGAACTGAGCTTCTCATAAGTATTCTCAGTATTTCAGTTTTTTTCTTTTTTGAGTCTTAAGAAGTTTTGCGACATCCACTGAGAAATATCGTACACAGAGCTGATAAGTCTGTCTACTGATGATGTTTATCATCAGAAGTAATGTATAATTAAGTGTCAATAGCATTCCTAATGACATCACCTAGAGGTAACATGTGCAAAGAGAAGAGCAAGGTGCCTAAAACTGGACCCTGTGGGACTCCACAAAAAATGTTGAATCTCTTTGATGAATGATTACCCAGTGAAGTCAAGAATTGTCTATGCATTAAATATGATTTAAACCATTCTAGAACAGTGCCTGAGAGGCCTACCTAATATTCAAGGCGATGTATTAGAATTTTATAATCAACGGTATTAAAAAGCTGCACTAAGATCCAACAGTACCAAAATAGAAGGATTTTGTGCATCAGCGCTAAGCCTGAGATCATCGACAACACCAAACAATACTGTCTCAGTACTATGGTTAGAACAAAAACCTGATTAAAACTTCTCATATAACTTGTTTGATATTAGATTTGCGTTGAATAGTTTGAAGGTAACTTTTCTGACACTTTACATAAAAAAAGAAAAAGATTAGAAATTGGTCTAAAATTATTTAGTACAGAAGGATCTAAGCTGTTCTTTTTCAGTAGGGGATTCACCAGGGCAGATTTAAAAGCATCTGGAACAGCACCTGTTGACAGAGAACACAGTCAAAAAAACATCTTAAGGAATGAACTAGGAACAGGCTCAGGATCACATGTGGACAAGCATAATTGTTACTAACATTTGTAAACTCCTGATGATTGTTCTCATGTTCTTTTTGTGAAGTTTTAGTTCATGTTATTTCAGTGATGTGGGTTTTGAATGGGTGGAATGCTTTTAAGCATGGTGATTTTGAATATATAAAATTTAGACAGATCTTTGTATGAGTTTTGTGAGGAGATTTGCTCTCCTTCTCAGACAGCAGCAGGTTCTCTCTGTGCAGGAAATATATAATTATTGAAATTAAATAGACATCATCACTGTTGAAAACTCTTATTATGATGTGTGGTAGGAATATGCTCAGTGCTGTTTGAGACGCGGATGGGCTGTCTGAACGAGGTGGTTCCAGAAGAAACACAGAAGTTCATCTTCTCTGTTGGAGAGATGTTCCGCCTCTCCCCCATCATCGTCCTCTTTCCCAAGTCTCTGTGGCCCTACATGCCCTTTTGGAAGCATTTTTTGGCTGTGTGGGACCACCTATTCAAAGTAGGTGAGTGAAATCCCTGGTTCAAAAGAACCACACAGATGTGAACTAAACACATCAGAAACTTGCTATGATTTCTTGCAGCCCACATTTGCATAATCAGAACAATCCTTAAGGTCATTGCTCTTGAAAGCTGACCAACTGGAACCATGTTTTATTTACACAGGTTTACTGCTGGGTCAGTTCTCAGTGAACATTACATCTGTGCTTACTGATGAGATGGAGTCATGTTGAAGGTTATTTCTCGGGCTGCACTGTCATGGAACTTTTAGCCTGATAGGATAATCAATAATAGACACCTTGTGTTTCTGTATGTTGAAGCAAGTTAACACCATAGCCTAATCCATATGTGAAATGCAGAGCACAGAAGACATACGCAAAAGTTTGAATACCCCCCGGTCAAGTTTGAATACCCCCAGTCAAATTGCATGTACATTCTCTACAGGGAACAAACTGCAGACAATGCATTTGTGTGCAAACTTAGTGTACAGTTTCTTTTTAGTTTAACATATTGGAAGAAAAAATTAGATAAAATCTAAAATGTACCATAACTTCTGTACAGGCCACATGTTCTGTTTTATTTTTACTTTGAATATATTAAATTTAGCAAATAAACAGTAATTGTGTAAACAGTAAATTTTCATTTATGACTGTATAATGCACCACAAGTTTTTTGGCATTGTCATGCCAAAATCCTAGAACCTCAAACCGGCATAAAAAATCACTGAAGTCATCAGATGACACCTCACCAAATAGATATGTACATGGTTTAAAAGTTTTTTAATGCTGTGTTCAGCGGATGATCTGGTTCAGAAGAAGATGGTGGAGATTCAGGAGAAGGTGAAGCAGGGTCTGCCAATAGAGGGAGAGTACCTCACTCACCTGCTGGTCAGCGAGCAGATGTCCCCCACAGAGGTGTTAGGCAGCATCACTGAGCTTCTGCTGGCCGGAGTCGACACCGTGAGTTTTGAACGTTTAATTGGAAACAGATGAAAGCAGCGAGGTTCACATACAGGCATCATCATAGCATCAGTATGTCTTAAATGGCAATGTCTCTACACCACAGACATCCAACACTATCTCCTGGGCTCTGTATCACTTGGCTCGAGAGCCAGAAATCCAGCAGAGGCTACATGATGAGGTGATTAGTGTTTGCCCAGGTGACAAAGTGACTTCCAGCGAGGACATCAGCAAGATGCCTTTGCTGAAGGCTGTTGTTAAAGAGACCCTTCGGTGAGGAATTGATTGATTCTGCTCTTGTGCTGACCAAATGCAATATTTAAACCTTATAAGTCTTAAGCTTTTGCTGGCAATAACAAAGGCATGTTACAATTTTATAGGTGTTTAATTATTGCTCACAAGAAACCAAATTGGCAATTGTAAATATGAAGAGTTGTGATTTGAATTTGAGGAAAATGTTGTGCATACAGTTTTTTACATTGTTGTCATTGTTTGACATAGAAACAAATGGAAAAAACAATCAGTAAATCTAATGCACATACAATAAATTACAAAAATAACTGTATTTAATAAGTGGTAATTTCATTTTATTTCATTTCAATTTCATAACTCTATACTTTTAACAGTTAAACCATCTAGTCTGCGATTCTCACAGTGGGAGAGGCAGTGTTGCTCAAGCAATCAAATGAGAAAACTGATTCCAAAGACATGTATGAAAATGTTCTATTCGTGATGATTTATTACATTATCCCTTTAGGCTATACCCTGTGGTGCCAGGAAATGCTCGCGTCATTGCTGAAAATGAAACAGTGGTGGGTGGCCACCTCTTCCCTAAAAATGTAAGATTTACCACTTACTGTTTATTTCATAACTACAAGCACATTTCCAAAAAAGCTGGGACGTTGTGCAAAATGTAAATAAAAGCAGAATGCAATAATGTGCAAATCATTAAGCCGTATATGTAATTTAAAATAGTACAACATATGAAATGTTTAAACTGAGCAATTTTATTGTTTTTAGAAAAATATATGCCCATTTTGAATTTGTTGCCAGCAACACGTTTCAAAACATTGGGTCAGGGGCAACAAAAGACTGGTAAAGTTGTGTAATGCTAAAAAACACCTGGTGGAACATCTCACAACTAATTAGGTTATTTGGCAATGGGTCAGTAACATGATTGGATATAAAATAAAACGTACGAGAGGCTGAGTCTTTCAGAAGTAAAGATGAGGAGGGGTTCACCACTCTGTGGAAGACTGCACAGGTAAATAGTGCAGGATGACGTTTATCAGTGTAAATTAGCAACTTAGGGGAACTTTGGGATTATCATCATCTACGATACATAATATCATTAAAAGATTCAGAGAATCCAGAGAAATCTCTGTATGCAAGGGACAAGGCCAAGTAAAAGTGAGGCAAAGTAAAAAAGTGTCATGTAGTCCAGTGAGTCAAAGTTTGTTGTCAATGCACAGTTCAAAAGCCGCCATCTGGGATGGTATGGGGTGCATTAGTGCACATGGGAAGGCACCATTAATGCTTAATGATATATACAGGTTTTGGGGCAACATATGCTCCCATCCAAATGACGTCTTTTTCAGGGAAGGCATTGCTTATTTCAGCAAGACAGTGCCAAACCACACTCTGCACATATTACAACAGCATGGCTCCGCAGTAAAAGAGTCCAGGTGCTGAACTGGAGACCCCGAACAGCTGAGCAGCTGAAACCCTATATCAAGCAAGAATGGGAAACCTTTCACTTTCAAAACCACAGCAGTTTGTCCCCTCAGTTCCCAAACGCTTACAGAGTGCTGTTAAAACAAGAGGTGATGTAACACAGTGGTAAACATGCCCCTGTCCCGGCTTTTTTGAAATGTGTTGTTGGCATCAAACTCAAAATGAGCATGTTTTTTTTTTCAGAAAGAATAGAATATCTCAGTTTTGACAACTGATTTGTTGTCTTTGTACTATTTTCAATTAAATATAGGGTTTAAATGACTTGCACATCATTACATTCTGCTTTTATTTACATTTTGCACAGCGTCCCAACATTTGTTGGTAACAGGGTTGTAAAATCAACCACACTGATCTACAAACAAAACTTTGTAAGAACAATAAATAATAATATTAAAAATACAGTAATAGTAATGGTAACTTATAAGGATTGTATTTGTTTTAGTACAGGCTACAGTAAGCTGCAATCTATCTTCATAATTATTTACCTATGCGTCTCACCTGTAATTCCATGTGCACATGAGTACTGAAAAGTACTGAAACAGTAATTACAAAGTAAATACATTAAAATAGTACAGCTCACTCACAGTGGGTTCTCTCTTTTACAGACTCTGTTCCACTTGTGTCACTATGCAGTGTCCTATGATGAGAAGATATTTCCTGAGCCTCATGCATTCTTACCTCAGCGCTGGCTGCGGGGGGAGAAGCAGTTAAGCCAGCATCCGTTCGGCTCTGTTCCCTTTGGTTTTGGCATCCGTGCCTGTCTAGGCCGCAGACTGGCTGAGCTGGAGATGTACCTGATCCTGTCCCGGGTAAAGATCACATACAAACCAATCCTTATACCCCTTTTACACCTGCTCCTTTCAGGCATCTTGAATATCAGGACTATATCTGGATGATCCTCATAAAAATACAGGTGTACATTCACATTCACAAAGACACATTTCTGACAGATTTAGTCTGATCTAATCACTCAGACCAACAGGAGGTGATCTGAGACATATTTTATTCTGATGTTATACAAGTGTAAATACAACCAAAACACATTACATCAAAATACATTATACATAGCGCGTGTGGTCGGTGACCGTGACAAATAAAACAGCTGTTTTCTTGCAAACATCAACTTCCAAAGCTCGCTTAAGTGAGTTTAAGTACTCAGTTTTAATTTACTTTAAATCTTTTGCATAGAACAAGATAAAACAGAACCAAGGAACAACACCAGCAATTGGTTGTCGTGTTATGAGCTTATCTACATATTACATTATTACATGCCATATAGCAGTTTGATTTCAGTTTGACTAACCGCAGCCACATTTGAATACCAAGTACAAATACATGTAAATCTTATTAGGACACAATCCAGTCATGGGAAGATGTAAACAGGGTTATTTTATTATTATTTAGTCCTTTTTCCACCCCTGCATTATAATTTCCCTTATGAACCTTCTTTCTTTTGGAGTAGCTGTAATTGTTGACACTAAGCATTAAGCAGTTGGGCAGCACAGATAAGAGTCAGCAAGAGTTAACTATGGTTTGAACTTTTCTAAACTATGTTTTTTTATTTTTCTGAATTCACCATTTGTGCAAGGCCTTTTATGGCATTGCCTCAATGGATATATTATCGCAAAAGCTCCATATTGTTGAGTGTTCACTGTGTATCGCTCTCACATTGGACACAATATCCAGTGCTCAACAACACTTTCCAAACACAGGAAGCACAGGATATTTTGTTTGTTCACTGTAACTGTCATTCCTTAGAGTTGCTTTTTTTCTAATCTCTTTTTTCTCTTTTATATCTCTTTTTTCTCTTTTATTTGAGGAGAACCAATACTGAGTGTGCTAAAACATTAACTCTCAACACTAGGGTGTGGAGCTTTATGATATCACACATTAATGTGACTCAGGAAGTATTACCTGTCTGTCAAAGATTCATATTTTTTTTACCAAAATTGAGGGAAATCAGGCTGCCATAGCAGATAAATGGAAAGCCTGTTCCAAGAAAACCACATACCTGATAAGCTGCCATTGCCCTCCAGGAACCCTGAGTGATTTCACTATGGTTTGTTGTTTTTGCAGTAGAGAGGGAACATTAACCACCTGCAGACCTTCACCTTTGCTCTTAGTAAATCTGTCTGGTTATATTGGTCACAATATAGATCTGTGCAGTGAATATGATGTCTCAGTTCCTTTTGAACATGTAGTAAACTTAGCCTTGGACTAAACTGTAATGTCACATGCCTGTGTAGTCAAGGTTTAGGCTTATTCTGGGTCAGTGAAACGGCCTAAAAGAGTTCATTAATGACACTCTAACAGCCCTTGATTATACAACCCTGCAGTAAAAAATAAAATACTTAAGTGACTGTACTTCATTATTGTACTTGGAAGATTTGTACTGTGCTACAACTAGTGCTTTGCAAACTAGATATTCATGCTGATCAGGCATAATCAGCTCCTGTCCTGCACTGTTGAGGCAAACGAGGAACAGGAGTGCTTTGTGGTTCTGCAGTATGGAGACTGCAGGGATAATGCAGCACAATGCAGGTTTTAATAAAAAAGTCACACTGTGTGCACGCAAACTGTGCAAGGGCTTATCACCAGTGTGTGGGTGTTTAAGTGTTAAAAGTCAGTTGAAAAGGGTAAAGACAATGCTCACTTCTGTCTTGTTGACATAGAAGAGTGGTTCCCAGTCCTGGTCCTTGGGGACCCACACCATGCACAGTTTTGTGTTTTCCTACCAAAACACATCCACTTCAGCCCAGGAAGGGGTTGTTAATTACCAGATTAATTGGATCAGGTGTGTTGGGAGAAGGGATAACTCTAAGGTGTGGAGGGCAGGGGGTCCTCTTGGACCAGATTTGGCAACCACTGATGTAGAGCATTATTAGCTCATACCCAGCAATGTAAAAAGTCCTGAGTCTTAATTATTTGTTTGTTTGTTTTATAACATGTATTTTTACTGTTATACTTGAGTTTAAATGAATATACCTTTTTTCACACCATGAAATGTTTGGCTCCATATTTTCTTTATTTTACTTTTATTTTAAGTAAGATTGTGATATAGCAACCATATTTTAACTTAAGTATATTTTTTCTGTACTTTTCCCACATCTGACTATACTCACCAAATAAATTCAAGTTATTCTTCCTTTTTTTGCAGTTAATTAAACACTACGAAGTGCGGCCAGATCCCACAGGAAAGAGTGTGAAGCCAATCACTAGAACTCTCCTGGTGCCGGCCACGCCAATCAACCTTCAGTTTATTGACAGACAGCCTGTCCAAGCACAGGCAGCTGCTTGATGATTGGACATCGATGACCACCGAAAGTTCTAACCAGCCATTTCCTGATGTTCCTGAAGTTTTAACCAGTTAATTTCCTTATGCATTACTTTTGTTCTAGTATGTACTAAAGGACTGGTTTACATTGCCTCCCTTACCTTCTGTCACTTACAACGCATATTGTTTTAACAGTAATAACAAAATGATCTTTTCAGTCACACCTGAAGGGGTGCATTGTAATTGTAAGTACTGTGTAAATAACCTTAGTATTTTAATTGTATAACTGTTGCTAGCTGTGCTGGTGAGCTCTGTATGTGGGTCAAATGACTCTTTATTTTCTCTTTATCTTGTTGACTCAGTGGCACCATCATGAATACTAGAAATGGATTTAACTACTGCTTCAAGCTGTTGTGAACAGCTAGTCTTTTTATATGATCTTCAAGCTCATGCCTTTTAGTTAAATAATTTATGTATTTGTAAATGTTGCATTTTACATTGTCCACACACTTCCACACATTTTGGAAATAGTAAACTGATTTACAGAATCACTTCAGTAGTACAGTGCACAAGTCAGAGACCACCCATCGTTTATTTCATTGCCAGTCAAAATGGCCATTAAGTTCAAGTTATTTATTTTTCAGAATCAGGAAAAAAGCAGAAACAAAAGCAGAAACGCTGAAAAAAATCACCGAAGCTTTAACATAGATCTTTTTTTGATATTATCACTGTCCAAATAAAAACAAGTTAATGCAAAGAGATTTTATTAGAAGCAAATTTGGAACATTTCTATTGGTCTATAGGTCTCAAGTTCAGCTGCTGAGTTCAAATTATGCAGAAAAAAATTGCTTTTGTTGTTTCAGGAGACTTACTTTCAGTTTTCAAAGAAATCTGCAGGGATATTTTTCAATACCTCCAAAGTTCAGTCTTAGAAGTTGGTTGTATTTTCTCCTTCTCAAGATTGAATTATTCCCAAACATATTGAGTGATGTTGAGGTCTGGACTCTGGGGCGGTCAGTTCATTGTTCTGAGAACCCCAGCAGCGTCTTTGTTCGATTTTCTTCTTTTTTGTCTATTTCCTTTTCTCAGTAACGGCTTCTTGACAGCTGCACATCCTTTCAGACTCATAGTATTGAGTTGTCTTCTCACAGTGGAAGGATGGACAGAAACACATGTGGACTTATCTCACAAAGATGGAAGCTTTAAGTATTGTTTATCTGATGGTGACAGTTTTGGTGGTCTACCAGGTCTTGCACAGTTATTAGGAGTCCCATTTTCTCCTTTTTTCCACTTATTTTCCCCTGACTTTCTTCTTCTTATGCAAGTGGACTTTATATCTAATCTCCTCAGAAATATCCCCTGAATGAATAACGTGGACTGTTTTAACTGGAATAAATGAAGGGTGGTCTCTAATGTTTGCACACCACTGTACGATTGTATAACCAATATCAGATAAATGTGCTAAAAATCAAGGAAACAGCAATGAAATGTGGAACTTTCTTCTTATATGTTATGTGCTGTATGGCTTTAGTGGGCACGGTACTGTCTAAATGTGACTGCGGTTAGTAGTGGCAAATAAGGCATGGAGGCACATCATGTCAAAGAAAAACTGTGACACAGTTTGATTTAGTATTGTCTGTTTGTACAGGCCTTTAACTAGAGTCCTGTCAATAGCATGTGTTCTACAGTTGATCAGAGATGGACACTGTACGTTGATGAGGTTAGAATAAGTGACATAGCTGTTTTCAGTCATCAGTACTGTTCTGACATAGCCTGTTGAGCATTGTCCCATTTTAATAGCCCCATTGTTCCACAAGTCTCTATATGAACGTGACAGAAAAGTGAAGCTCTACACATTTCGGGAGCATTTTCCCATGAACTTCCCAAGATCTACAGAATAGCAGAGACAAACACAGACCTGCTGAAGTCTATGACTGTAACCTCCTTTTGCACAAAGAGAGTCTTTGTACTGAAAGGGGCTGCTGTTTCCATGCAACAGTCGTACTGATCTCAGACAATAGCTATTAAATGTGTCAGATAACGTGTTTGTAAGATTCAGTGTTTTCAGAAGTTTCAAAAAACGTTTTCGCATCTGAAATGTACAAAAAGTACTGTTCTTAATCTAACTCTGTTAATGAGTGCAGACTGTTAAAAGCACATGAGCTTGTTGAAATGATGCATAATAAATGTAGCTCTGCAGCTGTAAATAAAATGTCCAACAGCAAACTGTGGATTTGCATAGAGAGTGAATAAGTGACAGTGACAGATTTATATGTCATCTTTTGAGTGAGCGTAAAGCAGCTATTTCACACAATGTTTAGTAAATCAGTGTAATATTTAGTAGAATAATGCTCTCTGACCTGCACAGTTGCTTTAACAAAGGCCATGTTTGAACCAATAAGAGGAAAGACGAAAGAAAAAGTGTTTTATATTCGATACTCTTAACCTCTTTTGGTTAAAACTTTCATATTCGATACTCTTAACCTCCTTTTGCAGTTCCCCTAGTGGCCATTCTGCTGAAGAACTGAATTTCTTTTGGATAATTATTTTGGATAATGTTAATTAACCTAAATATTTTTCCCTGTAACTCTGCTATCAAATTAACTACACACTTAAAAACAATGGTCCTTCAAGTGTTCTTTAGTGAAGAAAATGGCTCTATAGAGAACCATGAACATGCATGAACACTTTGCATGCTTAAAGAGTTCTTTGCATCATGAAAGCGTTCTTCAAATTGATAAAGAATTTTCCATATATGGTTCTATACAGAATTTTTTGAAAAGGGTTCTATATAGCATCAAAAAGCATTCCTCTATAATTTTAGCTATTACAGCTGGTGCTATGTGGAACCCTTTTCAAGAAGGTTCTATTTAGAACCATCTACAGAACATTTTCCATCAGTCTGAAGAACTCTTTAATGATGCGAAGAACCCTTTCAGCATGCAAAGGGTTCTTTGGGTGTTTATGGTTCTATATAGAACCATTTTCTTTACTAAAGAACCCTTGAAGAACCATCTTTTTTAAGTGTGTAGGACACTGTTGGCCCTTTTTTGTGTGAAATCTTGTGACTGTATTGAGCTGCTAGCAGGCAATGAGGGGTGAAAGGGGAGGAGAAGAGAACCGCCTGGTGTGAAAACAGTCCACACCTCACCATGCTGAAATAAAATAGACAGCACAATTGCAGCTTTCTTGATATCAAAAAAACTTATACAACTGCCACAATGTTTAAATGACATTTAACCACAATAAAAGCACTTATAAATGTTGTCTTGCTTGTTCTTCTGCAAAGACAAAAATCCAGCTGACTTCCAGTTTTGTAAATCATATAAATACATCATCTAAGCCGCTTATCCTTCTGGGTCGCAGTGGGGTGCTGGAGCCTATCCCAGCTGTCATTGGGCAGAAGGCAGGATACACCCTGGACAGGTCGCCAGTCCATCGCAGGGCAAATAGGCAGACATACACATTCACTCACACCTAGGGGCAATTTAGCATGGCCTGACTGCATGTTTTTGGACCATGGGAGGAAACCAGAGACACGGGGATAACATGCAAACTCCACACAGAAGTGACCCCAGTCACCCAGCCGGGAATTGAACCCAGGTCGTTCTTGCTGTGAGGCGACAGCGCTACCCACTGTGCCACCGTGCCGCCCCCAAATCATATACATCTCCATCCAAATACAATCCTTCAATGTTATGAAAAATGCCTAGCTCGACTGAGGGACCTCCAAAACAGACATAAATTGGCAAAAACCCTTTTTGGCAACTGTGAAAAAGAACATATGGTTCTAGGACAAATTTTTAATTGATGGAGAGCTTTTACATTATGTTGGTTAATTAGGTTCTTTAAAAATGTTCTTCACACTCTCATATCTTATTTACAAGGACGGTCTATAACGGTCAATCCACTGAAAAGTTCTTAAGGGAACTAATTATAGTTCTTTTATGGCAGTGTTTCTCAATCCTGGTCCTGGAGGCCCACTGTCCTGAACATTTTAGTGCTTTTCCTGCTTTATCACACCCAATTTAACTCAATGTTGTGCTGTTAACGAGCTGATTAGTTGGATCAGGTGTGTTGGGAGCAGGGAAAACATTAAAAAGTGTAGGGCATTGGGCCTCCAGGACCAGGGTTAAGAAATACTGTTCTGTGGCATCACCCCAAATAACCTTTTTTTGGCAGCTTTATGTTTAAAAGCACTGTCAGCCCATAAAGTTGTGATCATTAGCATTAAGCGAATTCTCAGGTTTGCAGTGAAACATCTTAGTTATATGCCCTGCACATAACTGAAATCTCTCAAAAAAACTAACAAAGATCACAAACTTTGTCTCTCCATTATGTGCCAATGCAGAGAATCATAAGCATAATCTCCTCATGGTGTTAACATCTTATAATGTCAGTGTAGTAAATGTTATGGTAAAAATGAAACACACTAGTTGGGTTTGCCTATTAAAGTCCTGTAAAACCTCCAAGCAGGAGCCAATAGGAACATCCAGTTCTGGTAGAACACTCATGATCACTGAATGTAGGACATGATTTGTTGACCAAATGGCTATTCATTAATCTTATTCATTAACCTTGCAGTAGTTTTATAGATAAGGATACATCCAGACCCAGATTTTTACATTTTACAAGTGGACTCCTTATTAACACAGTTTTTACAACCAGGCTTTTGCTTCCTGTAGAAAAGATTTGAGGAGAGAAACATTCTTTCCACAAGTGAGAAGAATGTTAAGATATAGAATTACCACAGACTGGGTGTAGATGTGGATCAACAGCGCCATCTAGCACACACATTACAGACATACTACAACAGCTGTGAGCACTAGATGGTGTGTTTTACCTACTTTCCCCGCATGTTCCAAAAAGACTGAAGGTCTGGATCTCATTCAGTTTGTATTGTTGTGTGGTTTCCATGATATTGTCTCTGAAGCAAAAGAAGAAAATACAAATGCTTCTTCCGAGAAATCCAGCAAACAAATAAACAAAAAAATTATTCTGTTTTAAAACTTTTTAAAGTCTTCGGTTCAGTAGAGGGTAACAGAAGCAGTATAGGCCTAATGAAATGAGCTGAGGTGTAACTTCTGTAAATTTGATTTTCACTTCAAAATACAGTATTGAAAAACGAAAAATGCCATTGTCAGAGGAAAATTCAATAAACAGCTTAATTTACAGTTTCACGAACTAATCATAAAATAAAATAAACAAACAGAAATAGAATAAAGGGTCGTATTTTATTCATCCACACTTCAACATTTCTATCACTTTGAGCGGAAATAAAGTGCAGGGCGCACGTATAGTCTCAGAAGCTCAGACAGGCCTGTAGTTCTGACATATTGGTAGACTTTATGTTTTGTGTAGGTGTTTGTATACTTGACATGCATAGCTGTGCTCTATCTGCAAAACAATGAAATGATATGAGAAAGAGACTCCCGTACTGCACTCCCACCCTAAAGCGAGGGCTTCATACTCCCCCCGATCAGCTGCTGATGCGCTCAAGTTCACGTCACGAAGTATTTTGTCGGTGTTGTGCTGAACTCCGACTCCTCCCTGCGTGCAGGCGCGTCAGTGTCTTGGTGAAGGAGAGGCTGTGATTCTGCTCTTTATTTACACCGGCAGAAAAGGCTCATACCGAGCAGCCCGTTAGCTGAGAAGGTAGCCTCCGCTTCATGATAGACACTTAACCCCACTAACTGAACCCAAACCAGGTACGGCGCCAGGGGGTGCTAGAGGGTGCTGAAGCCCCCCTGAAAATGTGGTCTGTGTAATATAGATCCGGCGTTTAGATGCGGCCCACATAGCACATTGAATGATGGCACAGAAGTAGGCCAGAAGCGGTTGCCAGAACCCAGCCTGTTTACTGCTATTACAGGGCCACATCTCAGCCACCTCTAAACCACCAGTGCCAGAACTGACCCACAACTCTAAAACCATTAGTACAAAAACCAGGTCATTACAAAAACCACCCTGTTGGGTGGGAATGCTGCACGGTGCCACCAGGCGGTGTTTAACACTCTTGGGCTACCAGCTGCAGATGGCTACCCAGACAACAAATGTACACTGCGCCTGATTAGGGCCAAATGTAGCGCTGCATCCGGTCCGGATCCGCAAAGCAGAGCTGGCCCGGTGTCTTTTTGCACAACGGCCCAATACCGGAACTGATCTGTTTTACGGATCTGCGCCAAAACAGATTAAAAACCAGCCCAGATAAGCAAAGAACAGCGTTACATCTGGCCCTGAATTGGTGCAGGTCTGAATATTATCTTCATATCTGGCCCAAATGTGGCACGGACCCAGTTCAGAAGAGGTCCAAGCTCAAGTTGATATAAGCAGCTGTCTCTGGAACGGATCCGGCCCTGACTTGTTGCATCTGCACCGGATCCGTTCCAGAGTCAACAACAGCTACATATCCCACATAATTATTCACAAATCATTAATAATGAATGTTTTCAAAAAAACGGTAAATTCAAAAAGGGAAACATAAAACCAAATACCTCAAAAAAAGGTTTACTGAATGTCATTATGTTTTCAACACAGCATTTTTTTGAAAAATGAATTCAAACAAGAAAAAATACAATGCCAGTACTGAGGTGTAGACTTACGAGCAAAAAATCCTGTCATTAAAGAAGCGATAATTAGCTGCTTTGTTTTCAATTGTAATAAACTGACATAAAAACAGACTTTAACACTGATAGATTGCTAAACTCTGCTCATGTCATCACAATAATACTGGTTAATTGGCAATTTCAACACAAAATACTACCATGCTGAGTTTTACAATGTCAAATTAAGAAGTGTGACCATTGAGAAGTGACAATCAGTGAAGCACAGTTCAACTAAAATGAATTGGAGTATAAAACAATACAATATAAAATACTACAATATAAAGTAATACCAGCCAATATTGTTAAGTGTTAACATAATTTCCAGGCTCTTAACAATCATTACTGGTATGAGTCACAGTTTTCATATTGGTTGGGCTCTAATCCATGTTCTGGAATTCAAACCACTTAAAATTTTTACAGTTCATCACTGCTGCGGTCGACAGCTGAACGGTGAACTGAATGGTAACGATCTTTACAACCTTTTTTTCAAGCTCTCATTGAGGAAGCCCATTATTTACAGTTACCATCCAGCACCTGCTTCAGCCAACCCTACATTAAACTGAATCAAGTGTGCTGCTGATGAAATTGAACAAATCCTTGCAATGACGGGTGCTGCAGCAAGAAAG